CGAAGATTAAAATTTTGTGACTGATATGTTCTGATTTTGTCAGAACACAAATAAGGTGGTGCTCCAGTGTATGCAAAAATTTCTCTAAAATATGAGGTTGTGAGTTGATATATGCTAATTGGTCAGATCACAAGTAAGACGGTACTCCAGGTGTATGCAAGAATTTCTTGATAATATAATATTGTAAATATTTTTTTTCCTATAGTGTTGAATTATTATTTGGAAAGCGCGCAGATGTACTCGTCATTGACATTGATGAACTCTCGTACAGGTAGCTTTGCTGCCTTTAATGGAGATAATCTATCATAGATATAAATTACGTCATTCTTGCTCCCTCGTACTCTTTTTTTTTAAAAGAAAAAATATTTTGATCCAACCCTAATTTTGATGAGAATTTTCCAAAGTTTTCCTCTCCAGTAGGAAAGAGGAGCAAGCATCTCAAAGAGTGTGGTAAGAGGAGAATTTTCATTTCTGAAGTCATTCAGGTGATCATGGACAATTACAGCTGAGAAGGCTATGGCACAGGTATAATTGGCTGAGACAGACCAGATGTACCATAAAAGTTCCTCTGGTATGGGTCCTTTGATGATGGGAACAATGAGGATCCTCTTAAAGAGGCAAGTGCAGAGCATACTTAGAATCTCTGGCGACAGAAGAAAGATATCATAAGTGAGGCTTTCAGAAGAAGAGAGAATTTAGAGAGAACTCATGAGGAAAGCACACTAGTATTATACAAGGAAGTCGATACAACTCCTTCTGCCTGTAACTGATGGCAGAGTGGGGAAATTTTTTTTTTATTAAAATCAAGGTTTACTATCTTACTAAAGTCCTTCTCATTAGAACATTAAAATTTTATTGCATGAAAATGAATTGCGTACTCTTTCTCTCTCTCTCTCTACACACACACGTTGTTCATCATGAACATAACAATGTCATGCTATTATATTTTCTATTTCAGTTTGCTTAAATAGATGATACTACCAAAATAAGATTTACCAAAAAATAAGTAACTAGTACTCTTTCGGTCCTAAATATAAAACTCATTTTATAATATAAATTACATTATAAAATGAGTTTTATATTTTGAATTAAAGAAAATAATAAATTAAAATTTATTTTGACATAAAATTTATTTAATAAATAATATATCTGATTTTTTGTGAAAATATTTCTGACTATTTTTAATGAATTAGATTAAGGGGACCTTTTTTTGTGGAAGAAAATTCATGACATTAACTATAAACTAGTAACTATAAATAAATGTGATGAGGAAAGGACTCTCTCTGTCTTTGTCACCTTAAAAAGATTTGACATGGGGACCAGATATAGTTAATTTTGACTTATGAACGTTCAAATGAATATCACATAAGGCTTATAGATTGAGCCATACGTTACAAAAAAATTAAACGAAAAAGAAAAGAAAAAGATCAAATATTATATTGTGAAAAAATTTCAGATAAATATGTCACAATACGATGATCCTATGCATGTACAGGTGCTGAAAGTGACATTAACTAATCCATGTTTATTCTTTTACCCGGAAAAAGACAATAATAGTGGGGTGAGTGGGTGACAACCAACATTTATCATTTAATTAATTAATTATAACGAATATGATTTACTTTTCTTAAAATTCTGATACACTCTTCCCGTTCTTAATATAAGACTTAATTATTGAGTTGATTTTAGTTCTAAATATAATACATATTTATCATATTTATTAATTTTTTCTAAATTACCTCTATGGATATTTCCACAACCATAATCAAGTAAAAAAGAAAGAGATGATATTAAGGAAGATAATTATGGTCTTTTAGCAAAACATGTCATATTTCTTATAATTAACTAACTTACTTAACTTAATCTTACTTAACTTTCTTAATCTAATCAAATTAGTTAAATAAGTCTTATATTAAAGATAGGAGGAGTATAATATTAAATTATATGCTAATGTTGCATATGGGTATTTTAATTTAAAAAATTGATAAATATTAAAAGTAAAATGGAGCATGGAATACGAGAAGGACCACCTTCTATTGGAGTGAGAATCCAGGCCACCTCTGAAATGAATTATTTTCCTTTTTGGTGGTGGTTGATTTTTCTTCCATTTGCGGGCCATTTAAAAGGCGACGTGGCCATAAAGCTGCAAATAATTTAGCTTCCTAAAGAAAAGCAAGAACAAAAGGTTAAGACAAGGAAAGGTGAAGACTCAGGGTTTTGCCTTTTTCTTACCAGGTTTAGCTCTTCTTCTCTTCAAAAACTTTCCTCAACCCTTGGTTTTCTTCTTTCAGTGATCACTTTTTCAGATTCCTGCTTCTTCTTCTCAACACAAACCCCATCTTTTCTCTCGCCATCTTTCATATTTATTTTCTGTTTCCTTTCATCTGCACTGCTTATTCTTCCCAATCTTTAATGCAAACGGCTCAGTGCTATTTCAACCCAACGCAGAAAATGTAGAAAGCCTTTTTGGCTGTGGATTTCTCTAATTATTTTTTTTTTGGTACCTATATAAGAAGGAGGATTGAGATGACGAGAAGGAAGATAGAAATAAAGAAGATCGAGAACGTAGCTGCGAGGCAGGTGGCTTTCTCAAAGAGAAGGAAAGGTCTATTCAAGAAGGCCATGGAGCTGTCAACTCTCTGTGATGCTGAGATTGCTCTCTTAGTATTTTCAGCTTCGGGCAAACTCTTTGATTATGCCAGTACAAGGTATCTTTCATCTCTCTAATTTAGATTTTCTACTGATAGAAATCATAATCACGTCCTGGCTTTATTTATTCATTTTAAAAAAAAATTTAATCCTGATCTGTATTTGCTAATAAAAAAGTTGTGTAGCCTATGCCTTTGTTCATCTCATTCATGCTATATTCTAAATGTGTGTATAATCTCCCTTAGTTTTGATAGTGAGATGTCATATGAGATAACTCTAAAGTGCACAATAGTTTAACCTGAACATAGATTATAAGTATAAAACGTTTGACCCATAATTCGTTTGTCTGTTGTTTTGAAATGCCAGCATGTATGTATTTGATCAGTTCTAGTACCACGTAATTAACATGTATATGTTTTTTTGTGTGGAAGATTATCACTAATCATAAGATTGTGGATAACTTCATTTAATAATTGTTTGTCTTAATTTGCTTACATCTTCAACATTTTTACAACGTTTCGAGATCACTGCTAAAATTATGAAGTGGATGTTGGATATATAGTTAATTCGAACATTGAAATGTCAGCTTAGCTTGCATTAGTCTTGGAAAACCATGTAACTTGTCGAACGTTTGTGTGATAACATTATTCTGATAACATTCACATTATCATTATTGATGTTGAAAATTCAAGCCCAACATAGCATAGATGATTCATATATACATATAAGCAGCAAAATGCATGGGTTCCTTGACTTATAGATGATTCATATATGATAGTTCTTATTTTACTTTTCAACTGAGTTTTTTTTTCCAGTGTTGTTTGAAAAATCGTATTTATGTTGTATTATGTGTCTTTTAAGTAAAAAATATCAAACACGTTAGCAAACAGTGTAAACAAATACAAACTTTGCATATTATGATATTAGATCAAGTTTAGAGACATAGAAAATTAAAGAAAGGCACAAAGAAGAGCGAAAGGCATATTGTTGAGAGTAAATTGTACTGTATCCATTTATTCGGTATACATGCGATCAACAACAGAAAATGCTAACATATACAAAATACTCACAAAAAAAGGTGATTGGGTCAACCTAAATAGAATAAGAAACTATATTAACTGGGAAACCTAAAATCAATCGTTATCAAATTGCATGTCGTTATATTAATTCTCTTTCACAAACTTCAGATAGTGGAAAGAGACTATCTTGACTTTGTCCACCAGGGTATGAAATCAGCCTCCGGTTTATGTGACTTGGTTTTAGGTGTTAATACGAAGTAGATGGTGAACCCCGTTGGTAGCTTGTTGCTAAACAGAGTGATAATCAATCTTAATGTGTATGGTTTGGGAGATTTATAAATCAAACAAGCGAATGCCAAAGCAAAAGTATCTTATTAGAAGTGATGTTTGCAAGTACATAATACGTATCTTTAGTATTGGACCAAATTAAAAAAAAAAAAACAATGGTTTTTGTTGCACCAGAGACAAGATAGTCACCGAGAACAGTTATTTAGTTGTAGGATGATGATTAGCGGGATCTTTAGCCTAAACGGTATCGAAGTAGTCTCATAGATGAAGAGAAACATTGGTTAAGAAATGGAGAATGTGAAACAAGGTACCTTAAACATATCGAAATATGTAGAAGATTGTTGTGTAGTGGGCGGTAGTGGGCGGTACAAGTTAATTGACTGTAAGGCATAGGGTCTTTCCAAGAAGGGGTCAAGTAGTGTAAACTTAATAAGATCTATTTAATTAATTTGATTAAATTAAGGTAGTTAGGTAAGTTAGTCAATTATAAGAAATATGACATGTTTTTCCTAAAACACCATAATTATTTTCATTAATATCCTCCCTCCCTCTTTTACTTGATTATGGTTGAGGGAGTATCCATAGAGGTAATTTAGGAAAAACTGATAAATATAAGAAATAGATATTATATTTAGGACCAAAATCAACTCAACAATTAAGTTCTATATTAAGGACTAAAGGAGTATAATGTTAAGTTTAAAAGGGGTGGCCTTGGTCTTATTCTCAATGTGATTATGAGATTGAGAAATTAAATATGAGGCCTGATTTAGTTTCAGAAATCAAGTTCGATACCTAAGAAGTAGTTTCCATTGCCAAGTTTCTTTATTTCAGAGTTTTAGCCAAACAAAAAAAAAAAAAAGGCTTGTTTCTCTCTGATTAATCTCCATCAAGTCTTTTTTTTTTGGGTGACATTATCATCGACATATAGGAGCAATAAAACAATGCCATCCTTTTTAATGCAATCTCCATCGAAGTCAAGTTTTAGGTTTGTTTGTATTGCAGTCTATTTTAAGTTGGGCTTTCATTTTCTTCACACAAGTAGGCTTTTTAACACTCTTTTTTAACTCAAAGTCTTTAGACTGTGAGTTAATTAGTCTTACCTGTATTCCTTTTGTTCAATCCAAATAGTCTACTCACTTTTGACATCCCGAAAATCTCCTCCCCTCGAGTGATTCAACATTATTCAGTGTTAATAATGTGCGTGCTGGAGTCCAGAGGTAATTTGGGAATGAAAGCTGGAGTCCAAAGGTACTTTGGGAATGAAATTAACTTAATTTATTATATTTTAATTAATATTTGTGATTCTCATCATGTTTAAATTGTGAACATATATATATGAATAACTTAATGCAATCTAAAAAGAAAATTTTCAAGAACTGATCAATGTTGAAAGTTGTTGAGCAATTGAAGACAAATGGTGGTAGCACTAGTAGGCATAAGAGAGTGTGCATTTAAGCATGGGACAAGACAAGTTAAGTGACTCTACTAAAGATTGGATGGCTTTAGAGACTTGACTTTCAAGTGTTTAATTTCATTTGAGTAACTGTCCATATCTTGAAACTTTTGCACTGGTGTTAGATTCCATTTGTCCAACTTTGGTGTTGAATTTCATTTAGCTTGTAAGTTGTTGGGGCTAGGAACATCCCAAAAAGAGAAACCAACTGGCTTAGCAGTAGGATGCTTACTGGGGCCAAACGACATCTTGAAAAGGGAAAGAAAACAGCTGGGCCCTATATCAACAAGATGATATATATGAATAAGCTCGATACTGCATCTTAACACAAAATGTGATGCAATGAGTTGGTGGGTTCTTCCATTTATATCAAGATATGTCTGTGTGTGTGTGTATTTCATTTCTTATTTATTAAATTTACGTATATATGACATTGCTTAACTAATTGCATAATAAATAAAAAACATGAATTAATATATAACATTTTTGTTGTTTCAAGCACGAGGCAAGTGATTGCAAGGAGAAACCTGTACTCAGATGTAAGCCTTCTCAACACATACCAACCACTTCTTGAGTTTCAGGTATAATGTTCTTCTACACTCTAGCCCTTTAGACATTTTATTGTTTTTATTTGCAATTGAAAAGAGTGAATCAATTTATTATGCAAATATTGAAAAATGCAATATTCGTTATATACCACTCTTATCATTACCCAAAAACAATTATATTTTTATTCAAGAATATGATAAACCATTAGGGGTGGAAATAAGCCAAATGGCTTGTCAAGGGCTTATGGCCTGTCCTGTTTCAAAATCAAAAAAGGTTCAGGCCTCTTTGATGGCCTGTTTAGTTTAAGAGGCTAGGCCTAGGGTTTTTACAAAGCCTGTTAAGCCTGTCTGGCCTGGCCTGTTTATTTATCTTAATTTAAATTTTAATTTTGTACTTATATCTAGTCTTATTTCAAATTTTAATATATACTTACAACTTGTTTTCAATAATATTGACCATAATTAAAATTTAAAATATTACTTATGACATTAAATTTAAATAAAATATAATAATGAAAAATAATTATTATGTAGTATGTATATTTTACTTTTTTTTAATTAATCTATGTATTTTTTACTATGCATTTTGAAATTTTTAAAATCACAAGCTTTTTTAATAGGCTCAAGCCAGACTAGGCCAAGCTCAGGTTGGGAAAAAAGCCTATAAAAGACCACAGGTCAGGCTTAGACCAGCTTGTTACTAAATAAGTCTGGCCTAGTAAGGACAAAGCCTGGCCTGACCTGGCCTGTTTCCATCCCTAGACCATACTTAGTATGAATTGATGAAGATATTTTTCTTAAAGAAAGAGGAAAAAGAGTTCTTGAATGCGAAAATTTATTTAGCCCTAATATCTGTTTTTTTTTTTTTAATTGGATTGAACAAGTTTGAAATATTCCACTAACGACAAGCTAGTATGGATACTGTCCGAAATTTGTTATTAGGAATTAATCTAGTCGTTTTGTGTTAGGGTCTACACATGTAGGCAAAACTTGCAGCTTTGCAAAAGGTAATATATCCCCTAATGAATTCTTTACCCAAAGCTAGACCTAAGCTAAAGGATCATTGTTTTAAGATGGAGATATATGAGCTACTCAAGCAACTAGTTGAGAGAAAAGGATAACTAGCTAGCAACTAGTGATATAATCTGCAAGATTAACTTGTTTATTTCAAAATTTATAAAAATTAGAGCAACAGAGATTGAACTGAGTTTGAACTGATCTGGTATCTTAACCGACCCTCGTCATATTAGTTATTACATCTTTGCGACCAATACTCAATAGAAACTATCATTAGTTGTTGTTAACTTGGGACACAAGTGACATCTGTAACACCTTACTTTTTTACACTGGTAGGGTTATTTTGATTAGCATCGAACCACTTAGCTAGGTTTTATCGTAGGAGATGTAAAACTTTTCCCAAACATAGGGTTTGTGGGAGGGATGTAATTTTTAAAATTTTTTAAACTTTTTGAAAACTTATTTTCAATATGACATGTTTAGTAGTTCAAGTACTTAATTTACCTCTTTTTTCCCCAAAACTGGTAAAATTATACTAAGACTCAGCTCAAGCATAACATTAATTGAACTAACGCTCATTGCTTGTAACTATCCCCCTAAATGCTTTTAAATCCATAATAACCTGCAGGACTTAACATTCACCATAACATTAATTGAACTAACGCTCATTGCTTGTAACTATCCCCCTAAATGCTTTTAAATCCATAATAACCTGCAGGACCTAACATTCACCGCCTAAAATTCTAGCCCAAACTATTGAGCATACATAGTTATACAATAACTTCGCTTATATGTATGACATCTCCATTGATGACACTTACACACACACACACACACAAATATAAACATGCAAGTAAATACAACTTGCCAAAAAGATATATTCACATATAACCAATGTATATTATACATTAGTATAAGATATAAGTAGGCATTCCTGCTTCTTCTACCATCCTTCTTCTTCAAACACAATGCTCTTGCCCTTAGAGCGATTGACATTAACTGTGTAACATGGAAGAAAGGGGCAAGTGAGATTCTGAAAAATCCTCGTAGTAGTAATTTCCATAAATCAATTATGATCAAATCGCATAAAGCATGTAAAACAAGCAAAAGTGGAACATAATTTTACAAGCTAATGCAGTTAAGCATTAAGCTGAATAAATAAATGTGTAAATAATTGGCAGATATTGCCTTATATCTATCAACTACACATGATCACAACTAAATAATCCTTGCACGTTCTAATACTTTAAAATAGTAATATGGCACAAATAGACAGGCATCAATCATAACACAATTGTAAGATGGGAAAGAACTGCTACCTAGTATGCTTTCTTCTAACAAAAACCTTGATATCCGCTTTTTATGGTGTTTCCTTGGTGAGCTCAAGCAAATTTCAAAACCTAACATTTATATATTTACATAAAGGCAAGTTAATAGTTATTCCATTTATAACTTAAATAACTTCTCTCAAATTCCAACTTATTCTTACTTTACCCTTATAAAAGTGATTGGTCATCATGGACAAAATTATATATATAAATATCGATTTGAGATAAGCAATCTTTCTCCAACTCCCAACTTAGTGCATTAGCTCAAATCTTTTACGTTGTTCTTATTTCACAACTTTTCAATACATAACTCAAGCATATAAAATGACCATTGATCTTTTAGTGGAAATAACAAAGTCTAACTTATTGTTCTATTCCATTCAAGTTCTCGGTTCTTTTTCAAGACTTTGAACATTAAGTCTTCTTTCTTCTATCCGCAAAGACTCAATGGTTTAGCACCATTTGACATTAAATTCTCCTTTAATTTAAAACTTCACAATAGAACATAAGTTGCTTGACCTCCAACTTTCATGTTTCCCAATTCCAAACAACAACGAAATTTACTCTTAAACTTAACCATTTAATTTTCACATCATTTAAATATTTTGTCCCCCTTTCTATTCATTAAATAACTCATTCAATTCAATAACAACATTCAAGTTCAATTGCATTCTTCTTCATTCACATCATCAACACTACATTCATTAAGTGCCTATTAACTTGCTTGCACCATTATTTCTTAATGAAGCACTTAAACAACTCAACAATTATCACATTTGAATGCTCAGTCCTCTTATAAAATGTTGGACAGCTTCAATCTTAAATCTGAAATTTCCAAATTTGAAATATACTCCCAAGATTTGAATTTAATGAGCCTCCAGCTTCATACATTAACAAAACACCATGTCATATAACCTAATTAGGCTTTAGTCCAATTGACTTCTTCTAAAATTCTAGCTAACAGCCCCCTTGCTAAAAATGCTGAAATTTTCCAGCTTTAAGGATATTCCCTCAACTACAACAACTTATTCATGCCATATATTTAGATTAAAAATACTTCCTCGTACCAAGTTTTTGGACAACATCTCTTCTCTATATACCCTTCAATCCCAAGGACAAGATTTGGACCTTCAATTTCAAATCTCTAAACTTGGTTTAGGTAGCTTGACCGATCATTTAACTCAAGCGAGTATTAACAGCAACTTTTAGCAAGGTTTCACAGCTTCAAAATCATCATTTTCAGACAATACAACAATTACATATATATATCCATATAATTAATATACTCACACATGTCATTCGAACCATATAACTTCCATTTTAAATTCAGCAACTCCATTTTCCTTTAACAACATCATAGTATGACATCATGTTGCCATTTTCAAACCCAGGAATTAATGTTCATTTGAATGCAGGACATAACACCAAAACAGAAAGCCTTAGGTTCGAATCATCATGCCTCTCACAGACTCACCCACATTTCAGAACATATATACATCAATGTAGCTCATGTATTTTAGCACTTTAAATGCTTCTTGACATGCAGAAACCGAACAGTATCCCCTGATAGCAAATCTGGAATTTTCTGGATTCAAAACACACTCTCAAATCCTACAATAACCACATTCATGAGCAAAGTCACAACCACACCCTCCAATCTAACCTTTAAACATGATTTCCATAGCCTGACCCTCAAATTCTACACTTTCTCTCTCTAAAGCCAGACTTGATATCATCATCAACAGCCCAAATGATCACCGATCAAAGAAAATGGAGATGGGAGTATGTCCAGAAGACTCACCTTAACTTGTTAATCGGTTTGCATGCAAGAAATTTCTTCCCCGGTCATTCTTCTTCTTCCTCAAGCTTGCCCTCTCGATCTCTCTCTCACTTCCTCTCTGTTCCTCTTCGACTTGCGGATGGAAATGAGAAGGGAAAGAAGTATTCTGAATGCTATATAAGTAGGGGTCAGGCGGGGTTCATGTGATGGAAGGAGAAATGACCACCTTGCCCTTTTATCCTTTCTTATCTCCAATTCCATCCCTTTTCCTATTTTTTTGAAACATAAATTGAATCCAGAATAAACCCTTGATGTTTTATATAAATTTTTTTCTCACTAGCTTCTTTCTCTAATAAAATGCCTTCTCTAAAAATTTCGGATCAAAAATTAACTCTGAACTATTTTTCTTGAATTTTTCAAGAAAATAGGCTTTAATTTTATAAATTAATCCTTAATTCATTTTAAGAATTTTATATCTTAATTAGTTTCTTTACCTCATAAAATAATTATCCTAAATTTTTCAGTTCAAATATAAAACTCTAACTATTTTTCCTTGAATTTCAAGGAAAAAGGGTCTTAATCTCCAGAAATTAACTTTAAAATCATTTGAGCCATATTTGGGGAATTAAACCTCTTCATAAATTTTCTAAATACTCAAAATAATATTCTACAATATCTCTCCAGGTTTCTTGAGGCAGTAAATAATTTTAATACTTTAAAATTTCATCAGAAAATAGGCTTTTTGACTATTAAAATAATTTTGAGGTTCTAATCCTTAAAATAATTTCTTTTAATTTCGTAATTCCTTAATAGCCTATTTTTCATAGCCTTAAAATTTGGGATGTTACAACATCTCTCACCCACAATGTTACATTTTTATTTTATTCTTTTTATTTCATTAAGCATGCATTATGAGTTAGATAAGCTTAAGTTGTTAGTTCACTATATTTTGGTGTGGTATACCCATACTGCAGTATCAGCATATATGTCTGGCACAGTTAGCACTTCAGTATTGCTATTTTGGTATACTACTATACTTAAAGGTTAGGATTGTTCATAATGATAGAGCAATGATACACACACTCAAAATTGCAGGACCATCTATGAAATTATTACAGGCTGCGCTCCTAGAAATTTTGAAATATCAAAGAAAAGATGGAATATTTTTTTAAATTGTTTTTTCTTTTTGGCTAATTGGACAGGTAGAAGGTGAATATTTTAAGCTAGACAAGGAACTGAGAGAGAAGACTCGTGAACTGAGGTATGATTATGGAGCTACAAAGCATCAATACCAAAATAAAATATAAAAAAATATATATTAAGTCATATTATTCAAAAGCATTCTTCTTCTAAATTCCATGCAATGGGAAGCTCACAGGCCATATCTAGTTTTATCATATAAGATACTCTTCTAGTTCTAAATGTGACAACTAATAGAAGATTTTTTTTTTTTTAATATTCTAAATATAAGACCACAACATACTCTATCTTCCAAATTTATGATTTGTTCTCTGAGTCATCGTTATTAATTGCACTCATGAGAGGTAATTTCCAATGCAAATGTTTAAAGGGGTATCTATCATGAGGTCAACATTGGGAGGGTTCCTTACAAAGCCTTAGGTTTCCCAACTATAGCTTTTGGGATGTGGTTCTCTTAAGGACTTACTCATTAGAGAATTTTATATTGGTATTTTCATTGAGAGTCAACCAACTAAAGCATTCCACGTTGAGAGAGTTGCCTTGAACGAGGGGGCTTTATAAGGCTTTGGGTTCCTCAACTCCAACAATTAGTTTTTGGGGCGTGCTTCTTCTAAAGACTTATTAATTACTAATTAGAAAACTAATATATTTCTTACAAGTAACTAATTTAACTAATTTTCTCGATTTGTTAAAAAAAAAAATTTCTTGATTGCTATAAATTAATTATCTATTTCTTATATTTAAGACAGGAGAAATATGTTATAAAGTGTTTATATTGTTGATTCACATCCGTAACAGGCAGCTAAATGGAGAAGAACTTCAAGGATTGACTATAAAAGATCTAAAGAAGCTAGAAGATCTACTTAGCACATGCTTGCATCGTGTTTCGAAAGCCAAGGTTTGTTTTTACCTTTTGAGAGCAGTATTGGTGTTAATACTACACTATTATTTTATAATTATCCTATATGTATGACATATTCTTCTTTCTCCACATATTTTTGTTATTCAGTTATTCATTAAATTCTATATATGTATGGAACGGATAATACTCAGTTTAATTTTAAAACAGATATAAATTAATTCCATTTTTTCAGGCTGAAGCAATGAAGCAGGACATCAGTATTCTTAAGAAAGAGGTTAGAGTTATATTCATTTATCAGCGTGTAGTCTTAAGGAATTTTAGTTTTTCAAGTGTTTCCAAACTTAAAAGATATTCAAAATTGGAGACCATTAATATTAAAATATATTTGTTGTGTATGTGTTCGTACCACAAGTGCAAAGGGTTGTGACAAATAATAAAGTTATGAGTAAAATATTGTTTCCATGATGATTTGGTTTTAAAACTGATGAAGTATTATTGATTATCACACTTCTGCCTAATTTGAGTAACACAAATATCAAGGGTAAAAGAAAATATTTTTAAAATTAGAAATTATCAAAAAGAAAAAGTGATTTTTTTTCCATAAAAGAAAACGTGATTTTTCAACTCCAAGGATTCAAAGGGACCTAGGGTTATTTATCCCTCTTGTATTTCAAAAGTACTCGGTCAAACCCCTTATTATACTTGCTTCTTAATCATAGGTTATGCTAGTCAAGGACACTAAATTACTTATAAGTGCTCTCTCAAGTTTCCAAATAGGTGTTTATTCAATTAATTCAGTAATTCTTAATTAATTGATTAAATCCTAATTTTCATTGCAAACCCTATATGACTATATGTGAGGTTAATGAATATATCTCTATTTCATTAACAAAACCATCCATTTAACTTGTCAATTTCAAGTTCTCACATGTTTAACCCAAGTTCTACCCCCAACCTAGCTCTCTCAAGCATCAATTAAGTAAACCCAACAATTTTATTGGTGGCCAATCAACAAGAAACACTAAGCATAGAGTAAAATCAACATAATCCCATCATTGATCACAAATATAAAGGAAAATGAGCACTTAATCCATAAATGATTTCAAAACAATCCTAGAATTAAAGTATTTAGCCACACATGCATACTTAATCCATGAGAATATATTTATACATCTGCACAATATAGAACAAGAGTAGAGAAAGCAAGATGGAGAGGAAAAACCAAGGAAAAAAGCTCAAATCTCTTCAAAGCTCTAACTCTAGCTCAATCTCCTCCAAGAAGCCAGCCCCAGCACTGCCAAATGCTCCCAAGAACTACCCAAAAATGAAGAATGGTGGCCAAGGTCAAGTTTGAGGCCTTAAAACCTAGAATTTTCAGACTTAGTTGACTCGTGCACTTTCCTGTCAGTGAGTACATTTTAGCTGAGTTTGCCTTTGTTTTAGTTGGGTTGCAGCCAGGTCAGAGTGTCTTGCAGCCCACTTTGCTTCTGAAAAATTAAGTTCCTATACCTTAAATAAGGATTTCCACCTATGCTTTAACCTCTAATGATTCTTCTTTGATCTCTATTGCTTCGATAGGCTTCAAAGATGGCTTGACATTCAATTCTTGGATCAAAATATACCTTGCAGAAGAGTAATTCCATGAGCTCACAGACAACAAGGATTAAAACCAAAATATACACAATTAAACAATAATATGGAGCCCAAAAACATTATGCACATTTTCCTATCTTTGAGTATTCAATAAATGTACAAATGCACCAAAAAGTATCAAAAGTTTGAGAAAAATGTATTAAAATGACATGAAAATCTAGAAGTTAACAGTATGCATCCTAAGTTAGAAGAACACATATCTTAATTTTCATGGAAGTCATTCTCAAATCATGTATAAAATATAAGTCCTTAATTTCCATAAAATCTATATGGAAATACGAATTTATGGAATTGAATGTTACATTATACGTCCTCTGATACTTGACATGAGAAGTAGTTGAGTGATTCGATTTGGTCTTAAATATAAGATATTAATTTAATTATCCCATGCATATGATTGAAGAAGATAATCTAGGGAGACCAACACACATTTGTGATAAATAACTAACTTAAATAATTTTTTTAATATTTTCAAATTAGCTATATAGCTCTTATATTAAGTATTAGATGTAGTATTATATTACAGTTGATATTAAAATACAGGATACTTGTAGGTTCCATTCCGGTATCTTGAACTTTCCAATATAAGGTTTAATGGATCAATATTACATTTTTTGCTTAACGCAATTTCCTTCTTCATTGGAACAATGTTTTTCAAGAGGAGCAGAGGAAGAACAAAAAAAACGTGGAGTTATTGAACAGAATTTTTTGGTTAACACTTTATCCAAAAAAAATTGATTTGTTGATAGAGTAGAAGAGCACCGTGCGATTCATTTAGTTGATCCCTTTTAATCGGATAGTGTTTGCTGTTATTGCTGTTTATTGGAACGATGTAAGTTTATATCATGTGTCTTCATATACATCACCCACATTTTTCAATAACGTGTCTATTTTTGATATCAATGAAGGAAGCCAGACTCATGGAAGAAAACCAGAGACTAAATCAGGTTTAATTTTCAAATTATTGTCATTAATAATTCTCATGTTAATTAATTTCTGCGTGTAATTCATCATCATAATGGCTAATTTTCCATATCTTTAAAATTTAATGCCAATCCAGCAAATCAAACTCTTGGAAGAAAGCCAGAGATTAGAACAGGTATAACCGGTTTCAGATTCTTGTCTTCTCGGAGGTTATGTGGGTTTTGTATCAAGATATGTGAAATGAAACTGTGTATTAATAGGTTCAAAGGCTTGAGCAGGATCAAGACCAATCATTGTCCACCTCTCTCACAACGAGGTAAGTTCTGTAACCTCCTTTTAAGGTCCCTTAGTACATGGAGAAATTATTTTAAAAAGAAAAAAAAATTATGAGAGAAATTATATTTTTATTGTGGTTAATTGATAGCAAAGTGATTTATTGGAAAGAAAGTTTCCTATGTTTGGGGAAAAGAGCCTTCTCATTCCCATTTTGTACGAAACAAGTCCATAAAAGAGAGCTTTTTCACTCAATCTGTTTTCAATTGATTGGACATACTTGGAGGCCTAATTTCCACTTTTATTTTAGAGTAATTATTCCAATTTCAATCCCTCAAAATTACTATGTATGTTTTTTTTTTAAAATTAATTTGCAAGTTTTTACAGTTTGACATGATTTCTAATCCGTTACTTTTTATCAGGTCCTTACAACTTTATCTAATTTTTAATCATGTTCTTATAATTTCACTTTATTTTTAATGAAGCCTATGTATTTTTTTCCCTTTTTTTATCAGTCACATAAACAGAATCTACAACAACGAATATAAGGACATGATAAAAAGGAAAAAAAAAACTACAAGAATAATCAGTAATCATATCCACGTGTTTGAATTTATTAATCGTTCTATATATGCGAATCCCAGACAAGCTAAAATTAGTTATCACTTTCTTTCTTGATTAGTTATTTTATTCATTGAATTTGCAGGTTACTCTTTACTTGAGTAAAATTAAAATATCTGAAAGAGGACGCCCATTATTGGACGAGTGATTATAAATAATCGTCCTTCAATAATTATATATAAATGCATGTGCATGCAAGCATACCTGCGTCGTTGTTTCAACTTAAATTATGCTGTTTTGTACTGTTTATTTATTAAGACTCATTTTATAATGTAATTTATATTATAAAATAGGTTTTATATTTAAAACCGGAGGAATACAATAATAGTAATCCATCCAATCAAATGTTGATGTACCACATAAGTTGACTTCTCTTTACAATAATTAGTACTGTCTGATTTGATCTATTGTATGGCACTTCTAATCACCTTATCGGAACCAATTAAAAGTAGTTAAATCGTTAAATTTATTTGATAATTGAGAAAAAAAATTAAATTTACACTCATTTAAAACCATGAATTGTGTCAAACTTTAAATACGGACAACATTTAAAAAATGTAATTAATACTTCAATTGATAACTTATAATAAGAACTATTCACTTCTTTTAGAAAGTGCTCTATTACCCTCTAACTCAATTTTTCTGGCATATCTCCCTGCTATTATGAGAACACATGCTTATGTGGCTATTCTTTTCCATATGGACTAATTTCACTGACCCCTTGATGATATTGATGATTTTATCTGTAGTAGAAAATTTTTCATTCGTTAAAAAAAAACAAAATGAAAATGTACACGCTTTGGTGGCCAACGAGCAGAAGAATTATATATAATATATATAATTTATCTCTATTTTCAGTTTTAGGTTTCATATAAAACTGTAATAGATATATAAATTAAAATTAAAATTTAAAACATGTTAAATAAATATATTTTGTATTAAATGATCGACCCAATAACAAATATAATAAAGTTATTAGTTATGAAAGCATCTATATTTATTTCTTCAAGTCTAAATAATTTTCAGTTTTTTCCCTCATGAAAAATTAAAAAAAAAAATATTAGTTTCTGGTTCTAACTTCTAACTGAACTTGTTCTACTACCTGCTAATTTAATCAACCGCAGAAATTATTTATTTTAGGTTAAAATGTATTTTGATGTCTTAACTATTTAAGCTTTCTAATTTTTGTCTCTTAATTTTTTGTCAGTCTTAATTTTTTTGGACGATCTTCATTTTTTTTGTCTATTTAACCTTGAAAAAGTTGTTTAGGGTCCATATTAATTCATATTATTTTATTTTTGGATAATATTTTAATCTAATCATACTAGAGGACATGTATTTTCATTTTTCAAGATCAATTATTAATTGAGGAGAAAATAAATTTGAGGGCTTGAATTTGAATATAAAAAATAAAAGAATAAAATAAAATTGAAAGCAAAAGTCGCGGGTTGAAGATTGATAAGGACATAAAAGCATTGTCAAATGGCGAAATGGCGCCACGTCAAATGGAAGCCTGTTGGAATGGCAGTTGTTTGGGCCACCCATAGGCCCATTAACGAATGCTTGTTGATGGATTCAGCCCATCACATCATTGCATATTCACAATGCATCCTCCATGCCATGGATGGTTGTTCTGCTGCTTACTTAATAGATGACTAGGCCACCAAGGGGGTTGGGTCCAGCGGATTCATAATATGGCAAATCAAGGCTCCAATTTTACTGGGAGAGGTACTCACATTTAGTACTTGATAGTACTTTGAATAGAATTGCTTCTAATAGAAAAATGCTTATGCTTTAGCAAAAAAACAAACAAACAAAGACTAGGCCCCCAATATGACACCGCAACCAATGTGGCTATTGACAGAGCAAATGACTTGTCCTTCAAATGACATGGACGTACAGTGTGGGGGATGACTTGGCCATTAGCTGATCGGTGTGACAGACGGCAAGGATCGTGACACAACTCATTCAAGGAACATGTGATGTGGCTGATGACTCAGGTGATGGCTTAGCAACTTAGCTAATGTGCATGATGATGTCGTTGGTGAGTTAGATGATGTCTTGACCTATTAGCTCATCCATGTGGCAATATGACAAATAATAGGACGGTGAAATGGCACAGTCAATGTCATGGTTGTGCAAAGTGGTTGATAACTCAAATGATGACTTGACATAGCAATTGACGCATATGTCACGTATTTGTGTGATTTGGTTGATAACTCAGATGATGAGGTGACAACTTTGCTAACGTGTATGGTCATGTGTAGGGGTAAGTATTCAGTTATTCAGTTCGAATTAACCAAATAACCGAATAGTTTATATTTCCAGCACCAAATTGAAACCAAAGTAAATGGGTTCGGTTAGATAGTTTGTTAGGTTATTTAGCAAAAATGCAATGCAATGATGGTTTAGAGAGGCTAAGAGCAATTATAATACAAGTTATAAATTAATGAACAGAGAGCAACAAATAGAGGCAACAAGATGGATAAACTGGAAAATATGAAGAGGAAGAGGAAGAGGCTAAGCGGAATCAAGTGTGAAAAAGGGAGGGAGATTGGGTCTGGGTCGATCATTGAAGACTAGAGAGTAAGGATGGCAAGTAGGAGACATCAAGTGTGGAGTTGTGATTTGAAGATGGAGGCTAAAAGCACCAAAGGTGAAAGCTAAAGCTAGAGTTTAAGAGCAGTTGAAAGATTGATGCAAGATGCTTCAGGGGATAGGATGTGATGACAGCAACACAAGAGAAATGATAGCAGAGTGTAGGGCTTTTCTCTTTATGGGCTTGAGCGCTTTTTTTTTTAAAGGTAGGCTTCATTTTTTTTAAAGATGGAATGATTAGATATTTGGACTTAGGGTCTGTTTGGGTGACACCCCAAACCATGGTTTGGGGACCCAAACCATGGTTTGGGGATTTAGTCACCCAAACACCCCCTCCAAAAACCAAAACCATGGTTTTGGGTCAAAACCATGGTTTTGACTCTAAAACCATGGTTTTGGAAAAAGCAAAATTTTTTTGCTTTTGGAGAAAAAAGGGAGAGTGTGAGGGCCTATATGATATGTATCTTGTTATTTTTTTATAAACATATTTTTTATAAATATATTTAATCTTATATTTTATAAATATATATACACATTAATTATTTATTAATTATATTATCTTATGTATTATTAATTATGTTGGTAAAAAACATATTATTAACAATTTTATTCCTTCAAATTAAAATATATCATAAAATCTATTTTTTCTGTAATTATCATATTAACTAATGTCTTTTTTTAGTAATTTGTATATATAAAAAGTGCTTTTGATAACAACTATCCAAACACTCTCACTTCTCAGAATCACTTTTTTACAAAATCTATTCTTCACAGAATCTATTTTCCCCAGAATCTATTCTCCAGAATCACTTTTCCAAACCACGGTTTGGTTTCATCCAAACACACCCTTAGACTCAATAGACAATAATAGCCTAACTTTATTTTATTATTCGGTTTTTTAGTTAAAATTGAATTTTTTTCCTAATCAAACAAAACACTGAAAACAAATATTTTTTAAAGTAAAAACCGAACAAAAACCGAAAACCTAATTAACCGAATCAAAAAATTCAAACCGTGTTTGGTTCGGTTTTCGGTTTTGTTTAATTTTGCTCACCACTAGTGATGTGGCATGTGATGCAACCCTCAGTTGATGATGTGGATTCATGATGTGACTGGTGACTAGTGGTTTTTGGGTGGCGAGGTTTGTGTCTATGTGATGTGGGTGATGACGTGCTTGATGACTAGGATGCTATTAATAACAAGCTGGTATGACTGCGTGCTGATTGGTTACGTCGGTGACCTTGCTAAATTTGAACAATCATTATAAATTTGGAAATTGTCGCTGACAACGTACGGAAGACCTCTTAGCCTTTTCTTCGTGATTTATTTTTTTTCCCCCCATAAGCAACTGCGGAAACGGTTAAATTAGTCGTCAGGATGAACTGACCCGAGGTAATTTCTCGTAAAATATATTTAAATTTTTTGCTTCATTTCTTTCGACATCTTAAAATTTATTCTTAATTTATTAATGAGAAAACCATATTGAAGATACCTATACTTTCTTTCAATTTTTAATTTGGTACCTATGTGTTTTTTTCCTTTTAATTAAACATTTAATTTTATCTTTTTAACAACATTAGCTCTTATAACTTTGTTCTATTGATATTTTTAGTCTCTACATAAGGATTAATGATGTTAATAGAGGAAAAATAAAGATTTAGTTAAGAACAAAAAACACATAGGTACCAAATTGAAAATTAAAAAAAATATAGGTACCTCCAATATGGTTTTCCCTTTATTAATTACTCAAGGTATTTTTTTAATGTTTAATTCAAAATTTTAAATTTAATTTTTCATGACGTTTTTATTATATAACATTAATTTTTTATTTTTCAAATAAAATTTCCATTTTCAATAATTTGGAATTGATTCGTCTTTTAATTTTGTATTATATAATAATAAGATGTCTTCAATTTATTTAATATTACTTCATGTCCTTAATATAAAAGTTAGTTAATTAATTTGAGTAGATTAAGAAAATTAATTAAGTTAGTTATTTGTCACAAATATGAACTGATTTTTCTAAAATACTATTTTTAATCATGACTATTTTTAAATAAAAATAAATTAATAAGTGTAATTGATAGAGATACTTTAAAAAATAAATTACAAATTTAGGGAGATAAAATGGATTGAGATCTTATATTTAGGATCAAATTAAATCTCTAATTGGTTCTTATATTAAGAACTAGAGGTAATAATAATAATTTGTTAAAGAAGCCTCAAAATTTAATTAAACCAATAGGTTTGATATTTTTCCCTGCAATTTTTTTTGGATTTTTATTATTGATGCAATCATTTGTTATTATTAACATCTTAAGCGGTGCTGGTCAAAAAAACATTTTCTTAGGCGGTATTATATTAAATTTTAGTTTAATATATCTGAAAAAATATGTAAAGTTATATCATTGATAACTTGTAAATAAGTAAATAATACGGCAGTCCTCAAGGTTAATTTAAAAATTTTAAATCTTTGGCAATTTCAATTTGTTTCACTATCTTGTGTAATTTCTTTTCTCTCCGTTTTTTAAAAAATTTTTCCACATTTTATTAAAAATTTAAAATGGAGGTACCTATAATTTAATATTTTCAATTCAAAATTTCTCTATTCACAATAAATAGTTATTAATGTCTTCCTTAGGGGTTCTATTTTCTAAACATATATTTTCTCCCATCAACAAGCGTTGATCCTAGTAAAAAGTTTTATTCCTTCAAGCATGAGATCTTGAATTCGAATCTATCTACATACAGAATATGTCCTTGAAAGAGCTACTTCTAGTTAGTTGTGAAAATATTCAAATATGATCCAATCATATATTACGGTATTAAGCGAGTGTTTGGGTAGATATAAAATTATAGTTTTAAAAGTACTTTTACAGTATACAAAGTAAATATGTAAAAGAGTTTATATCGATTTACGAAAAAGTACTTTTTAAAAGTATTTTTAGAGTTAGGCAAACACCCTCTAAAATTTTTTTTTTTTTAAAAAAAACAAATGTATCTCATTCAATTAGGCACTTGTTTTGTGAAAATATCTAGGCAAAGAAACATAACGTGTTCATTTACTTCTTCTCTGCGTTGAATACCGTAAACAAATTATCATCATATGATATTTTGCACACTAATCTAACACTATTGAGCAGTCCACAATGAAGTGCCAATAAAGTACACTTTTTGCCTAAAAAGAATTGTTTTCTAACATTTTTGTGAGCAGAACTTTTGTAAAGTAGTGAACCATTAATTAAATAAAGGAGAGTAGTTATGAAATCAAAGAAAAAGAATATAATTACTAAACAATCTCCGCAATAATGGAGCAGTTTATAATAACAAATTGTAATGTAAGAAATGATATTGAAACTTACTGATAATTAAAACTTACTAATAATTTTTTTTTAATAAAAACTTTATTCCAATTCTCTCATGCATAAATGCTTTTGGATTCATTTAAAGTGAAAGCAAAAATTAGGATAAGATTAGTACGAGAGATCTAGAATGACATATTGAATTGGCCACCGACTTTTTCCCCTAGCAAGCAAAGTTATGTGTACGAGAGAGCTCACTAAAGTCATTCACCAGTGGGACCTCGCAATAAAAGGCACACCTATATATGTACCCAAGCTCTTTCAAAATCATAACACATATCGTAGGTAAATAAATATTTACAATGTTGTAAGCAATACATCAAACTATTTATATGTTCAGCCCATTATAATTTATTTACATTTTATGTAAGCAAATATAAGAAAAACGTATAAAGAGATTAAGTGTTTGTATAAATACTTTATATTTGTTATCAATAATAAAAATAAATTATAAAAACAAATAAGAATCAGAATATGAGCTGATGGGTATGTGAGATTAATTAAGTAGGAAAAGTAGATGGAGTATAGATAGGAATTTAGTATGGCAAAAATAAAAGAAAGAAATTTAGAGTTTAAACATTTATGATGCCATACAAAACATGAAATATATATATGCATTTTCAATAATTAATAATAATAATTGAAACGGATTTAATGATGACTTGTTTGTTTGCAAGGTAGAAATCTAGAATAGAGGGAAATGAAATATAATTAAGAAAAAGAATTTCAAACTCAAAAAGACTTTTCGTCCCTAAATTAAATTATTTTTGAAAAATTGCCACAAATACCAATTTAGAGAATTAATTGTCTAATAGTACCTAAAATTTAGAAAAGCTATGGGGTTCCTTCAAGATACCGGCAATTCTTCAACGCATGAAAGCATGTAACAATAAATTCAAGAACCATTGGATAATTAGTTTTTTTAGAAGGTATTTATGAGCATATTTTACTTTAATTTTTAAGAAAAATTGGGGAAAAGTTTCCCATTAAAAATGTTGGGGAAAAACATGGTAAATTTTTATACACAAAAAGTATTGAAACTATGCTACTAGTTGATTTAGATTCTTCTTGTCAATACAGTCTTGAATTCGAATTTTTTTCCCTCGGTTTTCTCTAAATTTCTCTCTTTTGAATGATCAAACTTCCTTTAAGTGCGTACATAATTCAAGTGTACGTTCGCCTGTAAAAGGTGAACCACAATCGCTGATGTAGCCATCACACTTTTCTTTGGCTTATCCTATTTGCACCGACACGTCGCCATCACTATATTATCTTCTGATATTCAACATTAAAATTTGTGAAAATTTCCATTATACGCGACAAAACTGTCATTTTCCCTTAAAAGGTCACGTTTTATAAAACATATATATGTATATATATGGCTAAAAATGTGCCAAGCATCCTGATATTGTTGTATGTGGCATCCATCTTATTTTCATAATAGACCATTTCGATATTATGTTTTTAGTTACATTCCCAACACCCTAATCTGTAAAGTGCTGATGCACTAAAAATAAAATTAAAAGATTGGATATACAAAAAAAAAAAGAATTAAAATTAGAGTACTGAATCTTACTATACCCATGTAGTATTATGTTTGTTAATTAATAATATTCAAATTTAAAAATTTAAGGACACAGAATTTTTTGTTTATAAATTTTTTTAATTCTATTTTTTCATTCAATTCTGTCTTTCGTACTTAGTTAATGGAGCTACAGCATACCCATAAATTACTTGATATTCAACATTAAAATTTGTGAACTTTTACATTATATGCGACAGAAATGTCATTTTCCCTTAAAAGTTCACGTTTTTATAAAACATATATGGCTAAAAATGTGCCAAGTATCCTGATATTTTTTTATGTTGCATCCATCTTATTTTCATAACAGACCATTTCGATATTATCTTTTTAGTTACATTCCCAACACACTAATTTGTAAAGTGCTGATGCACTAAAAATAAAATTAAAAGATTGGATATACATAAAAAAAAATTAAAATTAGAGTACTGAATGTTACTATACCCATGTACGTAGTATTATGTTTGTTAATTAATAATATTCAAACTTAAAAACTTGAGGACACAGAATTTTTTATTTATAAAAAAATTTTATTCTATTTTTCATTCAATTCTGTCTTTCATACTTAATTAATGGAGCTATAACATACCCATAAATTACCTTTTTCCCATATTTAATATACATACATGTATGTATTTTTTTTTTTAGCTGAATAGTACGATATTTTCATTTCAAAATCAAGCAAAAGCTTACAAACACCAAAAGAAACTGACAAAGCAGGAAGGAAAAGAACAAAACGAAGGCAACCGGTGCAGGGAAAGGACCACCAAACTTTATTTTTTAGACCTGAGCAAGGAGCACTTAATTGAATTGATGCCACGTTGGAAAATAAATATTTGTTGACGAAGACTATTTTAATTTTGTGGCCATCTAAAAAGTCAATGTGGACTTAAAACTGCAGAGAATTCTCTCAAGAAAGAGAAGGTGAAGATAAGGGAAAGAAAGAGAGATCCAAGAAAATTTGAGAAGCAAGTCTGTGTATCTCCAGGTTAATTTCCTCTCAGTCTTCCCTTTTTCATTTTTATTTCATTTCATTCGTCACTTTTCAGATTCGAAGAACTCTTCTTTCTTCTTCTTCTTCTTCTTCTTCTCTGCAAACTAAACATATCTTGTTCATCATCTTCTGTTTCCTTTGATCTGCTGATCTATTTCAAGGTTTTTTGCAACACCGTACCGAAACTTTCCTTCATTTTCTTTCTCTGATTGAAATCTGATGATGATGAGCTTGAAGTAGGGATTGATTCATAAAATGACGAGAAGGAAGATAGAAATAAAGAAGATCGAGAACGCCGCCGCGAGGCAGGTGGCTTTCTCAAAGAGAAGAAAAGGTCTATTCAAGAAGGCCATGGAGCTTTCAACTCTCTGCGATGCTGAGATTGCACTTTTAGTATTTTCAGCTTCTGGCAAACTCTTTGATTACTCTAGTACAAGGTATCTCTCTCTCTCTCTCTCTCTCTCTCTCTCTCACATTTATATTTTCCAATTTTGAGAATCATTTCATACGAATTTAATTATAATTCATACTCTCTCTCTACATATATATATATATAATCTCCTACATGTGTGAATATTCATATCCTGCTTCCGTTTTGATAGAGTGAGAGATTTCATATAGGATGTCTCTAAACTGCTCAACTTAACCTAGAACCTGGGTTTCACGAAGCTGCAATATAATTGACTTTAATACTCTTTAATTTGCTTAATTTAAAATATATACCAACTGTTCCGTAAGAATTCTTCATCATTATATGTGCCTTGAGCTAAACTGGCAGTACATAAATTCTTTTAGCTGATTAGTTACACCAAAACATTTCAAATTAAAGAGGATTCTAGGCCGAATTAAAGTGTGGGAGTAGTAAGAGATGATACTTGACAAGTGCTAGATTTTGAGCAAAAAAATTGGTTTAATTAAGGCCGTCAAATTACACGAGATATTTAGTAATTGGTATTAACATGTAGAAATGTAAACGGGGGAATGCTTGAATCATTGAATAAATGAGGCAAATTGATTCAAAATATAAGGGAGTTTGATTGGGGGAGTTCAAAGTCAAGTTTAGGTAGCTCCTTTATTTGTTTATAGGAATTAGGATCAAGAAAATTTTATGATGGTTTTGAATGAGCCTAGCATGAATTGATTCAGTCTAAACGAGTTCTATTACCCATCATCATATGTTCATCACTAAATATAGAGACTTGTATCCTTTCTTTTAGCTAACATTGAGATTCAAATTAATCTAAATATTTCAGTTTAAAGATAATTTCCCCTAGCGAGCAAAAAGTCATCCGTAAATAAATAAATATAGAACTGATTGCCTATATTCTTGAACTTGAAAATTGCATAAATAATATCAAATCATTAAATTATGATCTTACATAAATAAACATGTTTATAATTGAACGTACTACATGTTCAAATCTAGATTAGCCAGCTATTTGGATAATTAGATAGTTGTACGAAATACGTCTAATTTGATACTCAAACTCACTTTGTTGGCCTCTAAAATATGACTTCCCATTAAACAGTATGTGTGTATACGATAAACAGTTTTAATTTAGGATTAATATCACTCTTAGTCCTTATAATTTGATTAATTTTGACACTAGTTCCTGTAATTTCAAATCGTTAGTTTTGGTTTCTATAGTGGTATAATTCTTTTTTGGTCTTGAATTTAATGAATGGTCCCTACACTATTAGTGAGTTTTGATTTTGATGTCTATACTTATACACATACCAAGTCATTATGAAACTTTAAGGACCAAAAATAATGATTCGATACTAAAGAACTAAAACCAAAATTCGATCAAATTAGAAGAATCAATAATAATATTAACCCTCTAATTTATCAAATAGAATTTATAAAAATATAGGATAAATGCTTGTATTTCTTCATATAATTATAACCTGGCTAAAAGAGTAGTTTGCCGCATGCATCACCAATATTTGTAAGTATAAACTTTGTGCGACTCATCACTTCAAACTTTATATAAAAAATGGTCCACACCTTTTTTTTTTTTGGGTAATAGCTCCACAACTAATTTAATTAATACTATATCATTCAACCCCTTGATATTTATAATCAATTAGTTATGCCATCATTGGCCTTTGTCATATATTTTTCATCTACATTTTATTGATTGTGAAAGTGAAAAATGAAGAACATTTTCTCGTTTTAAAGGTCTTCACTTGTATCTTAGCGCAATTTTCATAGCGAGATGGGATTATTAGGAACTGGATGACATAATTTCAAAAAACAAATTGAATTATGAATTGTTTAAATGGTGCGTGAAATATCTATGAGATTGATCAAACATGTCACATAGGAGATTGACCGATCCCTTACATGATTGAGGACGTAAACTAATTTTAGGTCGAACATGCGAGACACTTTCCCCAAAATTAAACGATTTACATAACTCTTTCAATCTCTAAGGCCAAAAACCAAATAGATGTTTTTTTTTTTTAATTTCGTTCTGTGATCTATTAGCCTCAGTTAATCCATTCACAAGCTACGTAACAAGAATTCTGTTTCCTTTTCATAGTTTATAGCAATCCGCCTTCACTGATTTAATAATTTTTTCCCCCAACAATCTTGTGGCAGTAAAAATTTTCTCAAGATACTTCGGTGTGTTAATAAAAGAAGGGAGGACTAGCTCCTAGCTTTGTAATTAGCCAAAAGGGAAACAAAATCAAACCAAACGTAAAATCTTAACATTTGAATAATGGCTGGAGTTTAGAAAGTTGGGGATAGTAAGTATCCATGATTCAGCAACAACAACAACAACAACAAACCTGATCCTACTAGGTGGGGTCAATTATTTGAATCACATGATACCAATGTGCTCTATCAACAACCAAGTCTTTAAATATGTTGTTGACCAGAAGGTCTCGTTTAATGACCTCATTGAGTGTTCTCCTCGATTTTCCTCAGTCCTTTTATATAGGACTCCAAACTATTTGATCAGCTCTTCTCAACCATTTTCTCTTTGATAGGCACCACACCTCTTGCTCTGATATTTTCATTTTGAACCTTATCTGTTTTTGTGTGATCACACATCCATCTCAATATCCTCATTTCTACTACCTCAGCTTTAACTAAGTATATGATTCAACTTGAGAAAAAAAAATGTCAAATCCCTATATGTGAGCAAAAATAACTATTTGCTTAAGTATTGATTTCTTGTCATCAGAATAAAGGTGGCGATATTTTAGGGATTGTAAGGGAGACCTTTGTTGTACGTCTTGGGGTTCTCAATCAACAAATTAACCAAGCGATGCAATATAGTGTAATCTCGTGTTGTTTCACTTTAAGGAGCCTTTGTTAATAACCTAAGTTAGACTAAATGACATGCAATGTTATGAAAAGAGTTTGGGTTTTGAAAATCAAATGGAACTATAACAAATTATATGCAATGAAAATAACCTAAACTACTGTTTTTGTTATTTTTGATAAAATGATAGTGGAATAGAAATGGATGATAGTAAGAATCTTGGAAACAAAACAGTGCAATAATTGTTCAAAAAAGATAATGGGAGTTTGTTTTCACTAAGCTTCTTGAGTTTAATGTCTTAAATCTTGAATCCAATCCTTGAGACATTATTAACTCCTCTTAGTGTGTGCTTGTGATTAGTTAATGCATTAGGTTCAATATGATCACACCAATTACAAAAAAAATTGATATAACTATAATTGAACATATATGTAATCACATATATTAAAGAGTACAAAATCCTCATTAACCAATCCAAAACACAAATTAATCATCCAACAATGATTACAATCATAATCAAAGAGTTTAACTACAAATTATTATTCCTAAGACCTAGAAAATCATAACATATAGCTAAGCCCAGGATAAAAATGAAAGAACTCCCTAAGGAAACTAGAACTCAAGCACAATCTCCCATCTTTAAGAGGATGGAACCTTAGCTCTCCATAGCTTCAACAGCAGCTCCAATCAAAGTACAACCGTCGACCATAGTAGTAGGAAGTCGCTTAAGATGGAATAGGATAAAGAAAAAGTAAAGAAAATGGATGGGGAAGAAGTCAGAGATGAAGAGATAAGAGATGGAATGAATAGAGGTGTGTGTGATGAGAGAACAGTGATATCTCGAAAATAGGGTTTTTGAATATTTAAAGGCTGGAACTGGGTTGGATCAAGTGAGTGGATGCTCTATTTTTGTGCTCTGGATCTGAATTTGATTTGCTACTGTGAGGACTTTGCCATGGTACAACATTTCTTTCGCTGCGGTGAAGATTCCAAAATGGGCACTCATGCACATTTTAACACTTGGGTCGCAACACAAATTTTCTTGGCTGCGATGAAGATTCCAAAACCACTACACTTGGCTCTTATGTAATCCTCTGGTCTCAATCATGGCTCTAATGCTTCAATGTGCTACAATGAAAACCAACTATTGAAAGCATCAATTGTCCTAGAAATCAATTGAATACAATTAATAACTAATCATGACAATTTAACCCCAAATTAATTTTAATTTCATGCAAGCACTCTTAATTCAAATCATGTACAATTCCATGCAAAAGAGCCAATAACTCAAAATTAAAACCCTTAAAATGATATGAAACAACATAGAAGAATTTGGTCCAATCAGATTGATTACAACTTAAGTGTTGCTCTTTAATCTATAAATCTTGTTTTGATTGTACAAAACAATAAAATATGAATGAAAAGTATTTTTCCACCTTTAAATCCCCACTCTGCGGCTACATAGGCAATATTTTGACAAGGTACCATGAAATAGATGAGATCAGACTTCCTATTTATTAATGATAAAGTAGAAGGTATTCTAACAAGATCCCTCATTATGTGAACTCAAAATAAAGTTTAATAGGAGTTATCTCGATTGGCTATACTAAATTAGAGTTATATATAACCAAAGATATATGTAGAGAGAGGGGAGTTAAACATAACCAAAAATATATGTAGAGAGAGAGAGCGATGCCATTATCTGAAGAGAATACTATAAAAGCCCAAAGAAGTAGCTCAAATTGCCGAGACCATTTATTTCAAAATTTTGACCGAGGAAATGTTTGATCCTTTGAATCCTCATCATATTACTATAATGATCATATATTGACATATAAGAGCATTAGAACATTTCTATGATTAGCTATGCAAACTCATTAGGATGAAGGAGAAGCCGAGATCATTGATATAGAACTAGTTTAGCTAGTCAATAGAGACCAAATAAAGAGTACAATAGAGACCATATATATGCGTGTGTTTGCAGGATGAGCACATGCCTAGGGTTTAGGTGCATATATATCTTTTTTTTCAGATCATCATTGAGAAAGGCAATTAGTTGACACCTATTTGATGGACATCCTATTGTCATGCCACGGCAATTGCTAGAAGACTTGTATATAATAGAGTTGATGTAAGCAACAAGAACAAGAGTCTCATCATTTTCAATGCTATCCCCGATCCTTAATATAAGAACTGGATGATTAATTTACGAAAATTAAAAAAATTAGTTAAATTAGTTTTTTATATTAGTTTAGTGTTATTTTTTTTAAAATACTCTTATTAATAATGTGTGTTAGAATGAACTAAGTCCCACATTGAGTGGAATGAGATGCTCACTGGGGTATTTAAGTGGGTTGGTTCTTCTACTTCAAAAGCTAGCTTTTAGGGTAGGGTTCTTCATCCTGATTAGGTATCCATCAATTGGTATTAGAGCCAGGTTGGTGAGTGAAGTGAATTAGAGTCTTATATTTAAAACCAAATTAAAAATCTCTAACTAACTCTTATATTTAGAACCATAGATAGTAATATATTCATGAGTCCAGGCACAAAGCGAGCCTCATATCATTCAGCAGATCCATCAAAATGAGTTTTGATTTTATTAATATTTGCATGTGCAACCACTGTTTTATTATTTAGAAGGTCATCAACGAGTGCCAAGCACAAGTTTGTGGGGTTTAGTATTGACAAGAGAATAAAGACTAATTGTAGTGTTTATTTGTTAGAAAAATCATATGAAAACAGGTCTATAGGTAAGAGAATTAGGGAAATTGAGGAAAATCAAGACAATGAAGAGAACATATATAATAAGTTCTTAGAATATCACATGATAAGAGAGATAATATACATGCAGTGAGATAAGGGATCCCAAAGATAATTATCCTTTTGCTTGGTGCCACATCTTAAGAAACAACAAACATGAGCAAGAGCTTATAACTTGGAATACTTGTGGGTTTGATGGAGGATCAAACCCTCAGGAACAAAAAAAGCTTGATGTACACCCCATATTTGGTCACTACAAGAATAAGGTAGAACTAGTAATAAAGTTAAACCCGCAAGTTAAACCTGCCAAAAATAGTAGGTTATGGTTGGCTAAAATTTTTTTAATTTTTTTCTATTTTGTTAATTATTATAATTATATTTTATATCCTATCTAAAAATTAAAAAATATCTACATCATTTATTTGATGTTTTCAATCAAATATTTGAAGGAAAATAAAAATTTCATCATATTTTGTTCATATTGTATAAGAAAAACTATTTAAAAATGAAAATTTTTTTAAAAAAATAATTGGCGGGCCCCGTGATAGGTTAGAGTTAGTTAAAAGCCAAACCATCATTATATGGGGTCTTTTTAACCTACACCACTTAATCCTAACCCACAACCCGCAAGTTAGCCTGTACTACCAACCCTACGTCAAGGTTGTTCTCATAGAGAATCAAATGATATTGGTGATTAGGCATTAAATTTCTCATTTCTTCCATTTAAGTTGAACAAGCCAGATTAAGAGTGATCAATCAAGGTAAAACTAAATTGGAATAGTATTGGTAGACAAAAATGACTCTTAAATCACTTATACCCCTCCCTTAAAATGAAAATGTTACCTACAACATAATAACTCAAGAGGTAATACATTTCAATATTACTCTCTCTCTCTCTCTCTATATATATATATAAGGATTATTATATGGGTCCATTAGGTATATGTCTATCCCAATAGCAAATTAAAAAAAAATTCTAATCCCCCATTACCGAATCTATTAGTTCACGTATGATTTTCTTTTGCTAAAGCAAACCCTAATCCCCTTAATTCATATTTAATGTTGGCCAAGCATCAAATAAACAAATAAATACAAGATTGAGCAAGCAAAACTGATATTAAGAATAAATAATTGGTTCAAATATACTCCAATCCATGAATATAATTCGTAGCTAATATAAATTTAGAGAGAATTTGCCACACGTGGCTTTAACAACAACAAAACACAATTAAATACATCAAATGGAAGAGAAAATGGAGTGGAAGAACTTAGTTGGACCAATGTCTGCATTTGATTCTTACAAGATCCCAAGGCTTCTTCCCCCCCCCCCCCTCCCTTCCTTCTCTTCGCCTAATGGCTGCTAGGGCAAATAATGACCAAAAAAAAAAGGCTCTCAAACCCTAAAAACGTGTTCATAATGGAAACCCTGTTTTGTGGAAATGCCACGACATCTTCCTTCCCTTTCTTCAGTTTTGCCACGGCATGATGCTGTTCTTTCTTCCCTGAAAAAATTTGCTGCAACAAATTGAGTTATGCTGCAACAGCTTTATATTAACCTTCTCCTCCCGGGCTTAAAATTTTTGAAGCATTTGCATTTGGTGTCGTAGGTTCTAATTCCCTTGTTGCCTTAGTTTCAGGAGTTACCCCTAGTTCAGACTCTCTTAGTGCCTCAAACACATGGCATATTATTTTTGATTTCATCTTTCGTGAGTAAATTGACAACTCTCTTCTTTGTGGTTGGTCTGCATCTCATTGTTCCCATATTTTTCTTCGGTTCTGAGATAAGAGAAGGGCCTAGTGACAGTGGAGGGAGATCTAGGTGATGGTGGATCAAGTGTAATTGAGTTAGGTTCAAGTGGTTCAATCGAACAAGGTGCACCCAAAGTGGGATCTCTATTGGGTTCTTTACTCTCCCAAGTCTGAAATTTACTCACTCTCCTATTGAATTGAAGATTTGGGTAAAATGGCGTATCCTCAAGAAAGCTAACATCGGGCTTACAAAGAGGCCTTTAATATCATGATCGTAGCATTTGCAGCCTTTTTTGTTGGAGAGCAACCCAGAAAGATGCATTTTACTGCACGAGGTTCAAGCTTAGGATTTTAATAAAGATGACCAAATATTATACAGCCAAAAACACAGAAAGGAAAGCTGTTCTCAATAAGGATATATATTCTGTGCTATTTATAAGATATGTTACAGCAAGAACAAGTAACATATCTTCTTTTTCACTTTCACATATAGAACATGTTTATGTGGGCTTTTAGGGAGTCAATTTTTTTAAAAAATGTCTATTTTCATTACATGTATATGGTGCTTGCTTGTTTTCAAGTTTTATAAGGATTTTATTTTATCTTGTGGTGCACTAGTGATTTCATTTTTAATTCTCAAAACCTTATTTTCAGGGCCTGAAGTTGTTTGAGATAATCTTCTTGTAACAGTCCATTTGAAATTCAAGTTAGCAAAAATAACTGTAGGGATCATATTGATGGAATACAATTCCTGAAATAGTATTATTTAATGATAAAAACTTCTTCAGAGAGTAGTGTAAGTCGTGGAGCTATACCCCAAGTAAAATCTCCTAATCACCCATCAGATTGTCCATTCCCTTCTCCAATAAATGACCAGACCCTTGTTACATACCCCCTTTCTCTCACTAACTGTCAGTCAGAAAATACCACAAATACCCACGCTCACATGGTTCGCACCCCACATTTCAATATTACCCATGTTCGACATATAATAATTCATGTTTTTTATTTCTTAAGTTGACCGTTCAAGTTGTTAAACTAATCAACTGTATCAGCTTAAAGAAGGCCATTGACATCATTCTGCTTCACTGGTAAAAAGTTCCAAATTCAGATAATGATGATATATGTATAAAAGTATTATATGTGCCTTGAAAAGATGAACCAATAATGCGTAACATTTTTTCTGTTTGAAGCATGAGGCAGTTGATCGAAAGGAGAAACTTGTACTCAAATATTAATCTTGACGAATCACACCAGCCATCTCTTGAACTGCAGGTATATATATTCTTCCCCTTTTATCTTTTAATGTTTCCATTCATGTTCCTCTTGTAAAATGGCAGCCTGTAGGTAAGTTTGGAGGCTCTGACTATAAGCCTTTGTTGGGCTGGGGAGCATCCTAAATTTTCACACACATTGTTGGTGCCAAATTTCCATTCGTGCTGCTGATCTTTTGCATTTCTAAGCCTTAATCTTCATCCATTTGAGCCTCCAAGCCACCCTCCAAGTCCATAATGAGTAAATCCGGAAAAACCTTGACTTAAAAGCAAGAAAACCCTCACATTCGTGTTTTTAATTCAGCTATGCATTTTTGGGCCCGACAAGTGCCATGGCATTGCTGCCTTGGCTTCGTGGCACACTTAGCTCTGTGCCGTGGCACCAAAGAGCCTAACATGACTTGATTTCTGACATCCATGAACTCCACTTTCTCTTGCTCAAAATGTTTAACTCCACCAACAAGAAATCAACTTCAGTTTTTATCACTCTTAACTCATTTTCTTAAATGATATTTATCAGTACCATATGGTGCAATAACTTCAATTTTTCCTTTATAAAATTACGCAAATGCTTCCTACTATGCATTGATGTTTCCCTGAAATATCTCAAATATCAATAAATTTAGAATGTCATCACTTTTTCTTTGAAGGTGGGAGAGAAATCATAGCCTTCATTTTCCTTAGGATTCCAATCCCATCTACCTTCCTTATCGAACTCAATATCTGTAATTAACAATGATATATCACTTTTTAGGCAATGAAAACTAGTTTCTTTGTCATCATACTCAGTTTTCTTCCATTCCATCATTCCATTAGTGTCATCCTAGGGATGCTTTTGGAGACAACCCTATCGGATAGATATACTTCATAACATACAGCTTCGGGTCATGATCTCTTAGGCATCTTTTTGCTTTTCAATATGCTTTGCGCCATGTCAAGACTCAAGGCTTGTTCTGTTCTTTTCAGCTATTCCATTTTGTTGCAAAGACGTTGGCATAGTTACAGGATGACGAATACTATTATCTTCACATAGCAGCTTTTGAATTCTTTTGGATGTGGACTCTCCGCTTCTATCAGATCTATCTCATGGCCCTAATTTCATAGCCCCTCTTCTTTTCTAAACTACCTTGAGCTTGTTGAACATGATTCTACAGCTAAAATCATCAAATTAAGAGTAGAAGTACCCATTTTTGCCATGAGAATTTAAATGTATCAGTGCATAAATATCTGTGTGAACAAAGCTCCAGTGGCTCCTGCAATTGATGCAGCATCTTTGGGAACATTTTACTAGACTGATTTCCAAGGACATTCCCCTCATGTATTTTATCAGGATGGCTGATGAAAGGCAGGCCTTTTACAGTCTTCTTTTTTAAGAGAAAATTCAAGTCACCAGAGTTTATATGTTAAACCTCAAATGCCGGGGCCAAGAATCCTCATTAACACATGCCTTTTGACATTTGGCAAGATCATTTTGGGTGTTCAATAAAAAATAATTTATTTCTTGAATTGTTTATTTTAGATGAATTCTATCTCATAGTTTTTTCCCCAAGAGCTGCCCCAAACTTGAGATAATATTTTGCATATCGGGTACGTAATAGACGTCAGAAATAAATTACATGTTAACTTGTCCACTTGCCACATTGTTCCATTAATAAGGCGAGTTCTTCTTTCTTGATGACTTTATGAAATGTGTTTTCTCATTCACATTTTGGCATTTGGCCAGAGAATCTGAAGCATTCTTGGGCATTGTTATGCTGCTTCTTTGATGGATTGCCACATCCATGTCCCCTAGTTGAAGAAAAGATGCCTCCGTTTTTCTTCTCATCAATTGGCTTGATAGCATCTTCCCCTTCCACCATGTCCATGACCTCATATATTAAGAGTAGTTTTATTTTTTATTTTTTATTTTTGTTGGAGAGTAGAGAGGAAAGGAAGCTTTCTATTAGAAGCTATTCTTTTTTGGCTTTAGATTCAACTTGCTAAAAGGTACATAGACCCTAGAATTATTCCTTCCCAAAAGTTAAACAAGTCCGAATCAAACAAAAGTTTGGACACATTTACCATTTTTCTTGTTTTAATATGAAGATATACCCAAGCAGATTTATGTTAGTAAATTTTAGAATGTAGTGATTGACAAAATGGCTAGCTAGCAGCAAGGGATATCTTTTTGGAATTCATTTATTTTATTTTGAAATTTCTAACAATGACTGATAACTGATCTACTAATTTGAAGACTAACTACGTCTTGTTTGGTTTGATGGAAGGAAAGATATTTCTTTTAGCTTGAGAACAAAATCGTCATGATTTCTTTTTAAAATTATTATTAATCAACTGTTAATTAGCGTTGATTTTTCTTAGAACAGGAGAGGTTTTTCACCCTCAAAATCTTTTTCTGTTGTTTCATTCTTTTCTTCCATTCTAGTTTACTGTATTTCGGCTTGCCGTAAAACTAGTAGGTTATAGGAATGTTCAGAATTATGCCTTTCAGAATATCATAGAATTTGGAAACCTGATAGAGTAATCATACACACAATTCTATTCAATATGAAATTACGTATAGAATTCTGGAAACTTTGAGATATAAAAGAAATTTTTGTAACTGGACAGGTAGAAGGTGAATATTTTAAGCTTAAAAAGGAACTTAAAGAGAAGACTCGTGAAATAAGGTATTCTTATATTGTGCTACATGTTTTATAAGGCATGCTACAACATGTTATTCTTTGACTATGTAGTTTCTACACCTAACAGGCAGCTCAATGGAGAAGAACTGCAAGGATTGACCTTAAAAGACCTAAGGAAACTAGAAATTTTGCTTAACACGAGCTTGAATCTCATTTCAAAAGCAAAGGTTCGTCTTTCCATTTAGTGAACACTTTCTCCTTTTCTTCCTTTTCTTCCCCTTTTCTTTTAATCAAAGCACCAGTATCTAGAAGCCATATCAGATTCCAACTAATTGGAGTCAAGAATTCTTCAAACAAGTTTTTAATATAACTGCATATCCAGAATTTAAACTTGAGACTATTGGTTCAGTACAGCTATTTTTCAGTTGAGCTATGTGTCCTTTTTTATCGGTTTCATAGTTTATGCTAATATATACTACCTCTAGTGGTCTTTAATATAAGAGCTAGTTAGAGGGTTGGATTTGATCCTAAATATAATACCTCAATCTACTTTGTCTCCCAAATTTATAATTCTTCTCTAAAATAGGGAAAACCATATCATAGGTACCTCAACTTTCTCTCAATTTTTAATTTGGTACCTATGTGTTTTTTTTCTCTTGATTAAACATTTAATTTTATTTTTTTAGCAACATTAGCTCTTATTACTTTGTTCTATTGGTGTTTTTAGTCTCTATATAAGGATTAATGATGTTAATTGAGCAAAATTAAAGATTTAGTTAAGAACAAAAAACACATAGGTACCAAATTGAAAATTTACAAAAAATACAAGTACCTCCAATATGGTTTTCCCTCTAAAATATACCTATTGATTGTAAGGGGTTTCCATCAAGAGGTGATGTCAATGCATATAATTAAAGATGATAGTTTAGAAAAAAAACAACAGGCATTTGTCATAAATAACAAACTTTTAATCTCCTCAAATTAGTTATTTAACTCTTAACGGGAGGTAGTATACTATATACCTCTACTGTTTTGAGATTTTCACTTAATCATGTGCATGACAGGTAATACCCTAGATATATTTATATTTACAACAGAGAGAAATTCATGTCTTTCAGGATCAAGTACATGAGCAGGAGATCAGTATTCTCAAGACCAAGGTTAGCGTTCAGTTCATTATTTATCAAAAGCACATCCTATGCATTCAATAATTTTGATCATTTAAAGTGTTTGCAAACTCGTAAGATACTCCTCTTGTCCTAAATGTAAGATCCATTTTGTAGTGTAATGTAAGACCCATTTAAATAAGTCTTACATTTAGGAATAGAGGAATATTTAAATTTGAAAACTTTAATTATGATACTATATGTATTTTATGCACCCTAAACAAGAGAAGAATACCTATCTTTTCATAAGTCATCCTCAAATCCTCATCATGTAAGTTTCCAAGTACTTTGAGAAATCAGCAAAAGATAAAATCGAAAGAAGATCCTGTTCAATACAAAACCTTTCCTAATAGATTTTAAAAGGCTTCCTGTGAGACGTTACTTATATTACATATTCTGCTCCTCCGGTCTTTAATATAAGACCTATTTGACTAATATGATTAGATTAAGGAAGTTAGGTAAGTTAGTTAATTATAAGAAATATGATATGTTTTTTCTAAAATACCATAATTATCTTCCTTAATATCCCCTCTCCCTCTTCTACTTAATTATGGTTGAGAGAGTATCTATAAGGGTAATTTAGTAAAAATTGATAAATATGAAAGATAAGTCTTTTATTTAGGACCAAAATCAACTCAACAATTAGATCTTATATCAAGGACTAGATGAGTAACTATATTTTCTGCCACTGAGATTTGATTTTTGAAAGGGAAGAGAGTGCCGAAATGATTGCAGGTGAAAAGAGAGAGAATTCACGAGGCCAGAGCCACTTCTCTCCACTTACCCCTTGTTTGTTTCAACAAAGAGGAGGGTAAGAGAGGGGACTGGAGAGATTTTAACAAGAGACCACTGTAATTATGGATCATTAAATTTAAGTTGATGATTCTTATTTAGCATTTTTTAAATACAAATTAATCTTTATTATTAAAACTTGATCTGAACGGTCCAAAATTACAACGGAGGTACAATGGAAAGAAACAAGTCACCAGATGGAATGTATGTGGCATTCAGTGTCTATAAAAGCAACATAACTAACCCTCTTCCAGTATGCATGTAAGTTTTGATGTATGTCTTCATGTATGTCTCTGCTTTGCATAAATAATTTGTTTGATATGTCAATGAAGGAAGCCAAACTCATGGAGGAAAACCAGAGACTAAACCAGGTTTTCAGATTCTTATCATTAATTCTCTTGTTAATTAATGTGTTGTGTCTCCATAATTATAATATAATGTCTATTTTCCGTGTGTGTTCGAACTTAATAATAATGCCAATCCAGGAAGTCAAAATGATGGAAGAAAACCAGAGATCGCAACAGGTAAAAGGTTCTCAGATTCTTGTCTTTCTCTTGTTTTCCAGTTTCAGGGAATGTTACCAAACTGTGTGTTGATAGGTTCAAAGACTTGAGCATGACCAAGGCCAGGCATTGGACGCCACTCAGAGAATGAGGTCAGCATCATAACCTCCTTTCAAATCAATCCATTGAACCACTTCTTTAATCATGACTAGTTTAATCACAATTATACCATTAATCGTTGAACCACTGCGTCCATTGGTTTAATAACCGATTTGGTTCTCAGTACCTTGTAATTTTTTAATGTGAAGCGTTTTATACACTTGTCAAAAGATTAACTATCGCTCTTACACTCAAAATCTCTCTCTCACACACACACAAGTGCACACACGCCAAGAAAATTCCTTGATAATATAATCTATGTACAGAATTAAAATTCATTGAAATTCTCATGAATATTATGAATTCATGAAGTACACATGCTGCATGTCCATGCTTGATATGATGCTTGCATACATATCATGGATATGGATGAGTTTAGTTGATCAACAGACGCATCTAAATAGGTTAAGATGATTACTTCTCATGAAGGGTTATTTATTTTCATTGACTTCCAGGTTACTCTTTCTCTGAATCACATTGAAGTTTCTGGTTGATGATGACCAGTACCAGATTATGAATAATTTGTCCAGATAATATATATATGAGCATGTATGTGAAATAAATTTGTAGTGTATTGTTTTATGGAATTAGTGACTTCAGTTTCATTCTCATTGTATTGATCAGTGATAATGTATTCAGGTACTGTGCAACAGAAACCTCTGTAGAAAACTACGTCGTAAGACAAAATGAATTGTTTTTTCATCGGATTGCAAATTTTCAGAGGGCAAATTAAATAATTAATTAATATCTGTTCTAAATTTTAATTGAATTCTTTTTAGTAAGTTAGATGATACCCAATGCCAAAGTATTTACGTACTGTTTGCTGTGATGGAGAGCAAAGAAATGAAGGGTTAATGAAGAGCGGAGAAGAAAAGAGAAAAGGGATTTGATGAAGAGAATGGGAGAGGAAGTAAAAAGGGTCTTTTCGATTTCCTCTTTTCATAATCGTTTTTGGTTTGAAAAAAAAAAAACCTCTTTCAAAATGTATTTTCATTATATGTTCTAAAAAATAAACGTTAAAAATTATTCTGATTACCCAACCACATCCTTTTTTTTCAAAATATTTTGTTACCTCTTAAATTGTAAAATTAAACAAGTGACACAGAACATCATGTTTCTATTAATCACAATTACGTAAATAAAAGCAAACCATTCTTTGATTCTTCATTTAACCACTTATAATGTTTTTTAAAAAATAATGAGCCAAACATTTTTTAAATCTTGTTTATCATGACTGTTTTGAGGACATAAAAGTAGCAAATAAACAAGTCCTAGTGTGTCCCAATATTCTTTTCCATAACTCGACCTGAGACACAGGAAGAAATAGAATTTAGCTATCCCTCTAAATCCCTCCCTTTTGGAGGGAAGGATCGGATGAAGAAGAAATTTTTTCTCTCCTCTCTTTCCTTTTTCCCTTAACTAAAAGCGGGAAAGGGGGCACAAAGCCCTCAAACCAAACAGTGCTGAGATATGACATATGGCATGTGTTCCCTCAAACTTTTCTCTGGCTTTGGGGGATTAAGATCGTGCTTCAAAATAATTGCGAGTCTAATAAAAGAACCGTTTGAGAGAAATAAATTTCACTTGTACTGTTAAACAACATAAATTTAACCTCTATTTCTAGTTGGTTCTGTATCAAATGACCTTAATTTCATCATATTTAAGGACAAGTGAGGAAAACCCCTGATTAGAGTCCTAGTTTCCAAATGACAATATAGACTGGAGAGAAAAAAGAGAAACATAATTAGAAAAATTGCCTATATATATTCTCCATAACCACCTCTTCTCTATCACTTTGTAGTGCCCAACAGATGGGGTGAGTGAACTTCACCTGCCATCCCCATCTCTCTCTCTCTCTCTCTGTGTGTGTTTGTGAGCAAAAAGTCACGATGCACAACTTAATTCCCTACAAAAATAGCGATTACAAGACTATTTCAACTAATGTAAATCATTTGGAGTGAACAAAATTGTGGATCCTCCCAGTCTTGACCCAGATGACCCGGCTTTGTTGAAGAAGAAAACCATATTGATCAAACTTCATTCTTCTTCCTGCGCTTATGCCCATCCCCTCTGTGTGGTTTTTTCGGCCCCTAGGTCCAAAATTCATCAAAATCTGTCAGCTATAAAAGCAACATTTCTTTTTCCTCCCTCACATTTGGTACAAGCAGAATAAAATAAAATTTCAAAAAAATAATTTTGCAGATGCCAAATTCAATTCCCTTCATGGCTACCAAACAGGGTTGACTAGTCAAGAAGAAATTAAAATCTGATCACAAGAAAAGAAAGGTTAAAAAAAAAAAACTATACCTTAGCAGATATAGCTTTCAGAGGGTCTCCACCTTTTCTGAACTTTTTCCTTTTGGATCCCCGTGAGCGATTATTATTTCCCATTGCATCCCTTGCAAGCTTGACCATTTCACTTGCCTCTTTGGTTGATTTGTCTACCAAATACTCTGGCACATCACGTAGGTGTGAAGGAGGGGCATTTTTGCTCAAAACTTTGTCATGTTTCAATAGATCTGCACAAAAACATTGTCAATATTTCAAGATTTCTCTGAACATAAATTAAAAAAGTGCGAATACTTGAATCAACTAATTGCATTACCTAGGTCCCTTGGATTAGATTCAAAGTGAGCCTTTAACCTACAAGGTAGACCATGGGAGAAGTGCAGGAACAGATTAGGAAGGGAACAAACGCAAAGAAGGAAGATACATTTCTCAAGCATACAAAATGTTATTAGTTAAGAACTCACTTTTCAGAGTTCAGAATTTCGTTCCTCAAATCCTGGGCTCGTGATTCACGAACCGCGATTTTTGTTACACTCTTTGCAACATCCTGCAAAAGAAATCTACGCATTATTATTGTTCACTGCCTAAAGCAGACATTTAGGTCCAATATGCTAAACTATGCAATACATCTCCCCCCAGTATCAAAGGAAAGACCAGGCAGATGAGGCAAGGACTATTCAATGCAGTTTATCACAAACAATTAACCTTTATGGTAGAGGATACATGCTTCTTAATATGGTCAACATGTAACAGACAGATGACTTCATATTCCAAAATTAAAATTTGTGAGCCTGTTGACGTCAAACTATAAAAGCACCTAGAGTTCCTGTGCATTTACATAGAACTCAGTATAAGCACTGCTTGTGAGATATACAGTTCTCTGTCTTAAAATTGAAAACACATGTAAGATAAAATACTTCAATTTCACACAAACTGTTGAAGCAGAAGCATCTCAATCAAAGATGCACCAAAAGAAGGAAAATTCTCAGATTTCATACCAAGGACAAATGCCATAAAAAGTCACGACAAACTTTCTGCAAGGAAAAAGGTAGATGATAATTCACCTCAGCCCGATACCGTAAAGATTCCACAGCATTCTTGGTGAGCAATGGAAATTCAGCAATTGTGTTTGAACCATCGTTTTCATCATCCCCAACAAAAGATTTTATTTCATCTAAAGTTTCCATCTCATCAGTAGAAACCTGTAAAGACATGAAAAATTAGATTGACAAGACATCCATGAACCCTTTTTTAACAAGTATAGTCTAAATCATGACCAAGCATTTTGCAGGTCAAAACTACATTTTATCTCCCGTGCATTGATGGACCAAAACCGAGACTACAAAGCCAAATCTAATATTAAATCAGAAATTCCCTCACAGGTAGGAAGATTTTGCTTGTCTGAAACTCACCAAAGATATAGAAGAACCAGAATTGTATGCTCTTCCAGTACGTCCTATCCGATGGACATATCCTGCAACACTTTGAGGCATTTCAAAGTTTATAACCTGTCCATAAACAACAGTAAGCGTTAACTGATTGACAGAGACAAACATGGCAATGACGGCAGTTTCCCAAAAAAGAAGATATAAAAGAAATCGAAAAATCACAATCAGATAATGTTCTAACTTCAACAGCATATTCTTGAGAAATAAATGATGGAACTGTTTCAATATGTGAATAGCAAACACTGACATGCAGACACATGAAAGAGATAATTTGCATACCGTATATACATTTTTAAAGTCAATTCCCCTCACAACTCCAAACTCAGAATCTAATTTTTGCTTGACATGTTTTTTGGACGTCCGCATCTCACCATTATTTTCTTTAGTTGCTTCATCCTTCTCCTTCATGTGGCTGTCATCGGTTGCAATAAGATAATCAAAGAGGCCAGCATTGAATTCCTGGATAAAGCCAGATTTACTTGTTAAAAACAAAAGTGAGACCATACAGAGCCATAAACAATAATAATATAGCCCACAATAGAACAATGCCAGAGTGTTTTAACTATTTAAAACAAGAATAATAACAGCCATTGTACAGTGGGGACAAGAATTCAATCATATAATCTTATTATGAACCTACCTCAAGAATATGGAGACGGGAATTCTGTGGCAACTCGGCATTTAAAACAGCAGACTTGATTCCAAACTAGGAAGAAGTAGAAAGGAAAGCAAAAACGAGTAATACAACCCCACAACAGTGAGCAAGAATATAACAAGCAGTAGCAGAAATGAAAAGAGAACTTTGAGTAAATGACAATATTTTGAACACAAGGCAGAGAGAGAACAAGAATAATGCTTATTAGCTATTGTATAGGTTAACAGGTAATATGACGTAAATAAAATTTACTAGTTGCATGAAAGGAAGCTTGCATACCTTCTCCAAGAACAGTTTCAATCTGAAACTCATGTCTATGCTATTGGTAAATATTAGAACTTTCTTTTGGACCAACCCCAACTTCAACAAGGCAAGGATGTAGAGCAACTTATCATGGGCAGGGCATGAGATCTGAGACAAAATACTTTATTAGAACAATTAAAGGCTGTTTAAGTATGAAGAACTTTGGTCAACAGGCATATATTAGTATGCAAACAAGAGTTAATGAGAATAAAAGGTTTTAAGAATCAACAATGCAAAATAGAAGTTTAATTTATCATCGGAGTGAATATTGCCATATGCAGAAACAATAGATAATATCTTCACACAAGATTAAAACAGATGTGAATCTCAGAAGACAAAGCACAGTAAAGGCTCTACCTATACCTTGAGAAAAATACCGTCCCCACATCTCCCCAAAAAGACAATATAGAAATAAAAATAAGAGAGAGATTAGAAATGAATGACCAAGGAAAAATTGTACCAGATGATACCAATTCACAGTTAGTAGACACTTCGTGTGTGTGTGTGTGTGTGTGTGTGTGAGAGAGAGAGAGAGAGAGAGAGAGTGCGTGCTTGTATGTGAGAGAGCGAGAGTTGATCTCAGCTTTCTGTTAACTTCATCACAGCAAGCCAGTCAGTCATATTTGAGAAGCAGCGAATTAGCTAAGTTTTCCACAAGATCAAGAAGACAAGAGGGCCAAATGCTATAGAAAATCTCTTACCCAAAATTGTTGAACATTTTTAGGAATAATCTCATCCTTCTGGTTTCCTAGTTCAGGCAAAGTCAAAATAAAGGGGTTGTGCAGAATCAACTTCTTTAGTTTGTCAACATCAGCACTGCAAATGACAATTTATTAAACTGCGATCAGGAAGGTTGAAGCATTCATAACTCATAATTACAAAGAAAACAAGACAAAATGTCATGATACAATTTAAGTGATTTAAAATTGCAGTCTGTGAATGGTCACAGTCAGAAACTTCCACTAAAATTCTACTCAGGCCAAATTTCATTAATAGCAAATGCGTAATCTTCAATTTGTTCAAAAGAACAAAGGAAAATAATTTTCGGGTTTGTTTTAGTTTCATATTTTATCATTTATTGAAACAAGATGAAGAACCAATAAAGACACTGGTAAGTCTTTGAGCAAAGTAACTTTCCCGTGACATCATAAAGCACCCAAGTTAGACAACTGAGAAGAGCCAGAAAAAATAATCCACCTTGATGTTGCGGACATAAGAAGACACTGGCAACTTCTGGGTACATGGGCTGAAAAAGCTTTTATATCATTTTCATAGCCGTATGACAATAGAAGATCTGCCTGAAAGCACATGAACATAAATTATTAACCAACCACAAAAATAAGCGAAGAAGACTTGAGCTTTACTCAGAGGCTTCTTAGATGATATTGGTGAAGTAAAATGAATAAATCAATTTGAAGAAACTCCCTTAACTAAAAATATATAGCAAGTACCAAAACACATCCTATCATAATAAACATCACATCAGAGAAGTCAACCACAGTGCACGAATAATTTAACACAAGAAAGAAAATTAATTGTCCCAAAAAGGGCAGCAAAGTTAAATCAAGAATCAAAAGTACTAACAACTTATATTTGAACTTACCTCATCAAGAACTAGAGTCTCAAGGGAACCATTAAAGGATGTTGATTTAAGTACGCCAGTGGACAAGCATTTAGCAATACAAGCAGGTGTGGAAATCAATACATCAGGAGGTCCAGTCATTGCTGTCCGCTGCAACAATTTAGAGCAAAAACGGATTCATCCATTTGCATTTGCAGTAACAAAAATCTTAAACTGGAAAGTGGAAAGCCGTCAATCTTTCGAAAGCACAATCAAATGCTAAGTAGTGACAACAAATGAAAAGAAAGTAAACCAACCAGATCAGAAGCCTTCATATTGCTAGTCAATTGCACAGCTTTCAGTTGAACTCTGCATAATTCTATGAGAGATGAAACCTCTGCATATACCTGATAATATAAATGCAAATAAAAGTTGAGCAACCAATACCAAAATGGAAGATGAGATAAGAACAATATGGAAGTAATCAAATTGGAAAAAAGTTAACAAACCTGCTGACATAGTTCTCGAGTTGGAACAAGAATGAATGCATTGGGTGATAATTTCTTTCTTTGAACAGTATTAGTAAACAATTTTTGAAGCAATGGAAGAAGGTATGCAAATGTCTTGCCAGAACCTGTCTTTGCTCGAGCAACTACATCCTTACCTTCCTGGAAATGATTAGCTATACAGTAAAGAATCTACCAACTAGAAACATTAATCTATCAACAAAACAAATATATTCGACCAAACATCAGGATTTATATATGAGAAGCAGTTGTAGTGAACTTCAAAGTAAACAAAATTAAAGTAGAAGGACTCACCAATATGAGTGGAATGGCCACCTGTTGAATTGGAGTTGGTTTCTCAACCCCCTTTTTGAGCAAGGCACGAATTAGGCGTGCATCCAATCCTAACCCTTCGAAAGTTTGGTCTTCTGTGACTTCATATTCATGCAGCGTTTCTTTTGATATATTTTCATTTGTTTTGTCCATGAGAACCAACTAAGCACACAGTTTAAGATCAATACTATTACGATTATTGTGCCCAATAGGTGAATATTGTTTAATATCACCAGTTCTATGCTCACTGGCGAGCTATGAGTGAATGCAAGCCAAACCAAGATTTTCTTTTTCTCACAAAAAAAAAAAAAAAAAAAAAAAAAAACTCACATATGTCGTATTTGTATTACCATAACAGATTAAAAATAAGCAGCAAAAACAGAACAAGAGAAGTATGATTATTTGAGTGTTTTCATAAGCAAAACAATGCGAAAGTACAGCAAAATATTTGGAAAAAATCATTATAAGAGTATGCAGAAATTACACAGCACATAAAGGCCATATTTTTGTGGTGAATTTGCAGACCCTCATTATTATGTATAGCCATTTGACATGGGAACCAACATATATCACTTGAAAAAGGATGGAATCTCTCAATCTCATACACCTAGTGACAAGCTTTCCTCAATTGATCAATGATTTATAAAACGGAGAAGGAGAGAAAGCATCGCTCAGATTTCAATTTCTCAATTATTGGCAGGTCAAGATCTAAAGCCTCATCAATGCACGCTCCGGGGGGAGGGGATTTACTTGCATCAAACTGAGATAAAAACGAGCATTATTTAGTCTGGTTTCATTTTATCCCAAGGTCGTAGTATCGTTAGAGTTCAAAATTCAGCGGAACAGCAAATACTCCTTAAGGATATCATTCATGTATAACATTCATGTTCTAAGGCAAACTCGCGACACCATCTAATCATGAAAATCAAACCTTAACCACCTAAAGAGAAAAGCCCAGATACCAAAAGTTGTGACAATATTCGGACAAAGCAACAGGGCAAGTTAAACTGTGGCAAAAGGTAAACCACGGCAGCGAGACAGAGGAGAGCAGCGTTAAAGGTCTCCTTAACATGCGAGCTGCTAAACTACCATTCATAATAGCACCAAATGGGAAGTATATATATTTCAAACAAGTCATTCAGGGAAGCATTCAGCACTATGGAAGAAGCACACTAACATACCTGAATTGAACTCAAAACTGAAGACAAGGTCTCTCGGTCTTTATAGCTTTGTAGCTCTATCAAATGGCGCCGCCGCCGCCGCCAAGTGCTCCGCTCTCCCCTCTCGGCCACCCTAGCGTTATTGGAAGTGAGTCGCGGTTGGGAACGCAAGTCCTTCTTCGGGGGCCAAGTAGAGATTTTAGGTAATTAAACTAAGGGAGAAGTTCACTTAAGGACCACTACAACTACAGCTAATTTACTTCAAGTCCCAAAAATCTGAAACTTCGCTGTAGCCTCATAGGTGTAAATAAATTATTTTTTGGTGTAAAAGACATTGTTGCCACTGAAGTTTATTGCATCTGAAACTTAGAGAAAAGAATCTAATGGAAAAGAATCTAATGGATTGCTCATAAAAGCTCCTCTCTAAAAATATCACTCCATCCTCTAACTTTTCGATGTGTTCTATCAGCACCGTTGCTACCATTCTGTTGAGTCCATTGTCGATGTCGTCATCGCATCCATGCATTTGATCACCATCATTGTCAACCTCGCATTCTGTTGCTCTCACTATTCTTTGCTACTCACTATTGGCCTTCGACAAGTTTGTTCCAATAAGCTCTCATTCTCATTATCTCCATTTTGGTTCAGCTAGCATCCTCCATCTATTTACTATGGTATGGGTTCTTGTGCACTTGAACAAACTTTGTTAGATTTTTCATCTCTTTTTTGAGTTGTGCAAAGGAGGTTCTATATGGTTTTGATCCTAGACAATCATTGCATTGCTGTTGTATTTATATGTGAGGTTTTATATGGTTTGACCATTAGTGCTTTATAATATAGGACAAGAAAGAAATTAAATGAATAGCTTATTAGAACTTAAGATGAGTTGCGTTATCATTCTTTTTCATATTTGCAAACATATCAACTTTTACTTTCAAAGGAGTGTTAAATCTTATAGGGCCTCTTTATTCCAATATCCTCTACTTGATTCTACCTAATATTCTTCTATAAATGAATTGGTGACAGTGTAACATATGGAGGATTATAAGTCAAACATTGATAATAAAACGACTGCTTGTTAAATATTCACAAGTCTGGGAGGGATAATGCACAATTAGAATTAAAAAATTTACAACAGAGATATGTGAATTAGCAACAGAAATACATCCATTTATAAGTGGACTAATATAACTAAAAAGTTGGACATGATAATGTACAATTCTGGAGAGACAATCCACATTGAAATTAGAAATTTGCAGCAAGGATGCATGAAAACAAGAAAAATATATCCATTTGCAAGTGTGGACCAATATAACTAAAAAGGTTGAACATGATGTACAAGTATGAAGAGATAATTTACAAATGGAATTAGAAAATTTGCAACAGTGATACGTGAATTAACAACAGAAATACATCCATTTATAACTAGAACAACGTAACTTAAAAAGAAGAACGTGATAATGGACAAGTCTGGAAAGACAATTTAGATCTAAAATTAGGAAATTTACAACAAGGATACGTGAATTAACAACAAAAATACGTCTATTTACAAGTGTACTAATATAACTAAAAAGCTAAACATGATAATGTACAATTCTAGAGAGAGACAATTCACAACTAGAATTAGGAAATTTACATTAAGGATACGTGAATTAACAACAAAAATACATCCATTTGTAAGTTAGCTAATATGTTCATACATTTACATTGTTGCCAGCTAATTTTAGTGCTTATTATAGCTTATCATCAAGTACCATCATGAAATATTCCAACCCATCCCAAAAATCCTAAATGAGTTGTTATAGCTATTTCCCCTACCAAAATTTACATTAAGGATACGTGAATTAACAACAAAATAACATCCATTTGTAAGTTAGCTAATATGTTCACCATTTACATTGTTGCCAGCTATTTTAGTGCTTATTATAGCTTATCATCAAGTACCATCATGAAATATTCCAACCCATCCCAAAAATCCTAAATGAGTTTGTATAAGCTTTCCCTACAATCAAAAATACATATTGGAATTCATATATATGCAAAAGTAGTTGTATATTAAACAACCAAAAAAGACTATTTTCAACAATAAAGTCACACAGGGTTCAAATTTCTACAAGTCTTTCTAGTGTGACTAATTTTACCATATATTGAACAATGATACACTTTCTTTTGCTAGAATTGTGATTCCATTCTCCTAATTCTACATCTTCCAGGATGACGAGTAGTTATTGGTAGTTGTAGTAAGATAGTAGGTGAGTAATCATCATATCAAAGATAATTTAGCTTAGAAATGTCATAGTCTCAACTAAGATCATAAGTCTGCCATAAATTTTTTTCTTGGGCTAAGAGCAAAAAGCAATCCTCCACATATGCATATACATTACCATAGTTCTTCTTTATTGCACTATCCAACTGTGACACTTGTGTCAAATCTTTTTCATTTTTGCAAACATAAACATGCCTGTTGCTATGATTGTAGTCAATTAATTGTCCAACTCCCACATCATCAACAAGGTACAATAATTTTTTCCTGTCAAAATTAACTATTTACTTCATCTTATATTGACAATTCCTAGGCCACACATCATTTGTTACCATCCTCTGTAGTTCTACATATGTAATCCCTTTTCCTATCAATCTTCTACTTATAATCCCCCTCCATATATCATTTTGCCTTCTAAGGTCTTCACAAATTCACCTCCCATGTGAAAGATACAAGATAATTGTTTTTCACTATTGCTAATCATATATAATCCTCTATTGCACATTATTCAAGTATCAATTTCAATCAATTTTAAAAAAATTCAACACAGTATGTGTTTACAACAGGAATTTGCAAATTTACAACAGAAATATGAGTTTTCACAACACCAAATTACCATTTTCCTATACAACTCAAATTTGCAAATTTACAATGCAATTATAGATTTTGACAAGATCAAATTACCATTTCTCTATGCAATTAACTTTCATATCAGCTACTCAAGCACATTTACCCATTTCCTCTCATTCCTATCTTCCTAAGTTCCTTCAACAGTGTATGACAGTAAATCTTCATCCACTTTTCAAAAATCATCGACACCTAATGTTTAACAAATTAAAATAAGAAGAGGATGATAATTGCTTTCTAAAATCAAACGTACTATCAGATTTTCCCTCACTTACCCATTCATTTTAATACTCATTTATGCCTTATTCACCCATCACAGCCCATCGGTACTCACCAACTCAGATGAAAAAGAAAACAAAATTTTATGTCACATACCAAGTACTAGTGACAATGACACCGTAGGGTAGAGTTGGATGGCAATGGACTTAATGGAATGATCACAGCAGTGTCGATGGAACATGTAACATTCCATTTTTTTTATCTTATTATAGGATTTAGATTATATGGGTGAGATTAATTCATAATATTTAATATTAAAGCTTATTGAACAAATTGTAAATTATAATTTCTGTTATATACATATAAATCATATATAAAAAAAATTATTATTTTTATTAAAAAAATAATATTTAATATATATATATATATATATAAAGGCAAGTGGGTGGCACGTGGGCCACCCACTGCTAGCGAGAGGTAGGGGGGTGTAAGCCCCCGTTGGGCTGTAGCCCTCTTTTAAAAAAAAAAAATTTCATTTCAAGTGGGGGTCACGTGTACCCCCACTTTCAAATGCTTCTCCCCCCCTCCCCTTTCCGCTTCGTTGTTTTCCTCTGGTATGCGTCCTCGCCGCGCCGCAACAGTGAGGTGGGTGTGAGAGGTAGTTTGAGTGTGTGAGAAAGGAAGGATTCTACTTGGGTACATATAAGATATTTAGGTGAGCTATTTTCATCCTACTATTTTTTATTTAGTTTTTTCTTTTTATTTCTGTATGTTTATGGCTGAAAATAAAGTTTATTAGGGCTTGTTAGTTTTTTTTAATTAAGGTTTCTAGCTCATTTTGATGATATTAATGGAACTTATGGGGTTAGAATAGAAGCCTTATGAATTAGATTTTTAGTTGGATGGTTGATTTGAGACAATATAAGTTAGGGTTTGGTTGGGAAATTGTGATTTGTATTAATAATGATATTAATTTCGAAATTTATCTCTTAGTTGAGTTCATTTGAGGTTATATTGAGGATCCAATGCTTAAACTTTGAGGATTGTTGTTGAAATAGTAATGTTGATGATTCATTGGAGAGACTTTAAGTAGTGGAAATTGGGTGTTTGGAGTAAATTGAGGAAAATATTATAAGTTATTGATTCTAATGAATGGGAAATAATTAATGGAAGAAGGGAATAGGATTGTAATAATGATTGGAGGCATAGATGGTACATGATTATTTTTCTAAGAGTTAAAGTAAACACTTTTTGGAGACTTTTGGATGATTTAAAGGAAATATTCTTACTAATGATGTGAATGAGAGAAATAGAGTTGGGAAGTATTAGGAATTGTCACTTGGAAGAATAGATGAATTATTATTTTTTCCTAAGGATAAATTTTTAGATAAGCCAATTATTGGGATTTAGTTAATAAACTATTTTAATGCTATATTAATTAGTCTTTTTATATTAATATATGTTTATCAATTTATTATTGTAGAGTGAGCTTGGTTTGGGCTCTTGGGTCTTGAATCCTCCTACTTTTAGTTCTTGTGTCAAGAACTTGAGGTAACCACTTTCTAATTTACCTTGTATGCTTGTTGATGTGATTATAAGCATGTGTTGATATTATAAATGTTATCAATATGTGTTATGGTGATTTTTTTTATGAAAAGTAATTTATATATCTATATTAAGATTTATGTTTCGTTAAATTTATTAGTTAAGTGGGCATGAATTATTTCATCTTATGAATATCTTGTTGATGTTGAACAAATTTGATTATTGAATCTGAGAGTACTTTATGGATATGAAATTGTGTGGAATTGGATGGTTGGATTGTGCTGTGTTGGTTGTGTTGAAATGTAGTTGTGGGAGGTCTGATTATTTATACCACGTGGTATAGCCGCCACTTGGCGTTCAGTGGTTGGCATTAACATTCTTAGGGCCCTCGGTATCACCCTTCCTTTGGCCGGGTCAAAAGTCAGCCCAAGGGACATGACACCTTTCTATATTCCAAGGAAAGGGAACCCATGGTCCGATATGAGCTCTGTAACTTTTGGCCGAGTTACA